ATATTATGGGATAAATGAAGATTTTTAAGCGTGACCAAATCAAATATGGCATTAGTAAATCAAGTTCTCCGACTGTTGATTTATGCCAGTTATGTAGGGAGGTGTAAACACACCTCCTGACTGGCATCCTAAGGACGCGATAACCCAATGATTTGAGACTTCAATGAGTGATATATAGTTCGAAATCTTTCTCATCTGCACTGATGCATTCATCACTCTTTGTTATCTCTCAGACAGATCCATTAGGTCTTCATTCCGTCTTTTGTATGCTTCCACTCATTATAGTGCTTTTGAATATTTTTTTTTGGTTTTCTCTTTGTGTGCTACATGGAGTGTATCAACCTGAACTGATGTGCTTCTTTCTGTGCAAAGTTTTACGTTGAAATTCACTCAGTCACACAAACAACTAAAATGAATAATGCCACAGTTGTCTAGTGTTTATTAGACGTTTCTATACACACCAGCCAATTTCAGAATCAGTCAGTCTACCAGATGAAAACAAGGATTCAAAACAGTACACATTTCAGCTCTGAGATATTCGTAATCGATTCATATATGTCTGCCTATTTTCGACACAGAACGTTGCATCGATGTGCAGCAGTTCAAGTCGCCACACTCTATGTATCACACAAACCAAAAGAAGAAAGTAGAAGAAATGCATAATATAGACAGTAAACAGAGGTGTGATACAAAGGAATAGTAATAACGAAGAACAATATAGTTTCATTGGAAATCATAAGTCACAAGGAGTGGATGCATCTGCCCCAGCCATTAAGAACGATTGTTTCCAGCCATTGGTTTTCATCATTCCAAGGACCCCAACCAGGAAGCCAGTCTACACCCCCTACGTGACTGGCTTAAACTAACTGTTGTGGATTCGATTGGCTGGTGCCATGTTTTGATTTGACCGCCGCTAGCTCTTTTCCAGCTTGACCCTATGTCAGCTAACATTGGCCATCAGTCGAGGAAGGCGATGACTAGGCATACGTAAAACATGTCCTAACCATCTCAATCGGTGTAACTTCACTTCCAAAAGCACACGAAGCCTTCCATTCTCATATATATATATATATCACAAAATGCCATAGATTGTGTAAAGGTTGCGACACTGCCTAGACCGTAGCAGTTGTTTGTCTTAATGGGCCACCTCCCCAGCTTTTGACTTGAGGTCAAATCCATAAGTCATTTGTGCAGCATCTTGACCTGCGTTCCCGGTAACCAAAACACGTTCATACGCTACTCAGTCCTTTCAGATTGTTGCAGACTACAGCTTTGCACAGTGAGCTTTCAGCTTCCCTAGGTAGACTGATATTATAAACGCCAGAAGTTTGCATTTACGTTTTCACTTCATTGGGGACGCTGACACCGTTTGAAGGTAGTGAATAAGATATAGTAAAAACCATATAATGACTGCCAGGTCGATTACATAGGTAAAACTTGTAGGTTGTGATCAGTTAGATTATTGGAATATAAGGACTGAACTTAAAGTAGAATGATCCACCCTGATAAATTAAGTAATCTGGAGAAAAAAAAGCTCGACCATTGTAATTCATTCAGTTGTACATAATAATATTAGGGTGCAGTAATGAGAAAGTATTAGAGAGTGACATATAGTTAGGTGGAGAAAGAGGCTAATCACCGAATTGTTCTTTATCGAATCGAAATGACGCAACATCTACACAGGATAACTCCATTATGGATAAGATTTTGTTTTGATCAATCACACAGTGCTGTACAGTAATATTAACTGATGACCAACTTTTCGAGCACAAACTATTGCTCATAATCATATCAAGTCAATCACACAACTTTCTTGCTTCATTTATATACATGAGTGGAATTGATTAGACATTTGGATAAAATCAGTACAGGATAAATTACATTCAGAAATAATAATATGAGTGTTATCAATCAAATACAATCAGATGGGAACTAAGACGTTTTTATAGTCAAAATAAGTAACTTTTTAGAATGTTATAATGTACGTGAATTGAAATAGAATTTTAAGATTATTTATTATCCTACTCTGATTTGCCTGACTCGTGGTAATGATATCTTCCATATTTCTGGTATTTGCATTGAGTCATTCCTGTTGTATGTGTAAGGTGTAGACTCAATGAACCAGGCAGGATTCAGTAATCAATCTCTCTCTCCACCTACCTATATTACTTCTTGGAATTTTAACCTTCTCCCACCCTATTGTGTGGTTGTGTGTTAATGCATATAGTTCAGTTACTGGGCTTTTTTTTTCTAAATTACTTATCTTCTCGGGGTCAACCATTCTTACCTTAGCTAAATTCTTATGTTCTGACAATCTGACTACTCCCGACCTACTAGTTTTACGTATGTAGTTGACTTAACTCACAGTCATTGCAAGGTATTTTGTAAATTATATTATTTTGTTTAATTGGGTCCACCGGGTCTTTTAGCCTACAGAGCTTGTCTATGAGTGAGTTTGTAGGTTTGAATGCCTCCCTAATTCCTGCTTTATTGAGAATCCTACGTAGGGCTTCAGAGGTCTTCTCCTTATATGGTATAACTGTAGATGCCTTATATTCTCTCTTATTTATGTTATCAATATTAATTTCACTTGTACTTAATTGATAACACTCATATTATTATTTCTGAATGTAATTTATCCTATACTGATTTTATCCAAATGTCTAATCAATTCCACTCATGTATATAAATGAAGCAAGAAAGTTGTGTGACTTGATATGATTATGAGTAATAGTTTGTGCTCGAAACGTCATCAGTTAATATTACTGTACAATACTGTGTGATTTATCAAAATAAAAACTTACCTATAATGGAGTTATACTCTACAACAGTGCCGAAGTTTTATACTTATATCAATAATACCCACAGAGGATATATGAGAATTTACAACAAATAATAAGGTGACAGGAGATACACCAAGTAGAAGGCACGGCATAGTTACCGATTAATGTGTTCATTACAGTCATAAATAAGGTCGGAAACAGCTGAAATAATAATTTAGTGGGAAAATGTCCCTGATATCAATAGTGGGTGACAGACACTGAAGGGATATTAGATCCTTCAACGAAATCTAGGCGATTGTCGTCTTCAACCATCTAACATATACTTCAGATAACCTTCCCATTCGGTGTTTTATACCCAAAAAGATGATACATGCTATCACATCACTATATGTAATTTGTACGCATCTAACGAGGAGCACAGATTGCAATGCAGTAAATGAACACACTCATGAAACTAGCCACCAAAATATAGAACACATCATCTTATATTAATCAACACTCAAATTGATGGTGCAATAAAGTTCATGGACACATTCAAAATTTGTTTCAAAAATACTCAGAAAGTAACCCACTGAACTCATTCCCATGTAATTTAATATTCCCCAAAGATAATCAGCGTATTTCTTTGAAATGCGATATGTCGATATGAAAATCCTATAGACTAGAATATGACACCAGCAACTGATTATTTTCGCGCTTCAGAAGAAGAAAATCCGGTTAATTATTCATTGAACTTAGTCAGTGACGACGACATATCTGTCACTGTAACAGACCACACTAACTGTATGACTGTCGGTGATATTGTACCAACAGAAGACAAGAGCCAGGCAGCAAATCATCTATATGCTAACTGTATCCGCCTACGTAAAGTCTGCCATGATTGGTTGTTGAATCAGTCTTTATTCAGATTTTTCCCACGACCAACATTGAGGACGAAAACTTTGACGTAAATTACTGTCTACCGATTCGGCCAGCAGCCAGCTCTCACCATAATACTATCCATCTGCCAATGCTGAATGAAGTAGGTAGAGTGAAATTCAACCAAGCTCCATACTGGTTGAAACTTGGTACAGAAGAAAAACAGACACCACACTAACCGAATCAGGATTGCTATAGTTCAACACCTCATCATAGCATCTCCACTGACTCATTATTTACAGTCATTTACAAAGTGAGCAAAAATCTACCAAAGGCAGTGTGTAGCCGACTTCTTGATACTATAGAAGCTGTCTTCATATGTTTCGAGAAGCCTGAGTTATGTGTTCAAAGGAAACTACTCCAATGTACACATAGACCATGGATCCAGTTCAGTGTGGCTTCTTAATCGTCTTTTACTTCTTCACTGTGTTTCTATGCTCATCCCTTTCACACCGGTATGTATTCGTTAAAAAGCTATTTTGCATATAACGCAACTGTTCTATAATCTTACGCAATTTAGTTGCTATGCAAGTTAATGAAACCAGATAGATGAAAACTATAATCATCAATAAAATAGGCTAACTGAAATGTTATGATATTAAACAGGATATCCCTGGTAACTTTTAGGTCGGCTTAGTGTTAAGATTTAGCCTAAGGACAGGTTAACCGATTAAGGAGATATATTAGGATTAAGGTGAATCCGATTAAGGCTAGTTTTGTTTTAGAGTTAGATTTTTTTTAAAATAGATTATTGGTTAAGGTTAAGATTAGAAGACTTCGCTAGAGGATGTTTATAGAACGATTTTAACGTTTAATTATCCTACTGACAACATTCCAGTGCAAAACTGGAGGGCATTTTTGTCACACGTGGAAGAAGAAGAGTTTCATGCTAATTTATTCACTTTTCATTCATTTCATAAGTACGCAAAAATCGTCTTTTCCATGTGATTGGTACGTCGCACTCCTTTCTGCTTAAATTTTAATTTGGCGGATGAAACTATGCAGTCAGGCATAAAATGAAAACGCTGACCTTTTTACGCCTTCTTTCTTTCTCTCTCTCTCCGATGGGCAGATAGGTATTTTCTACACTGTGAAAATCAAACATGTAAGGCAATAAAAACCCCGCCACCCAGGAACACACTATTGTAGCACATTATCGCTGAGATTACGAATGTAGAACTATGCAGGTAGAAAAAGCTCAACCTAAAAGGGGAACATAATTAATTCTCATTGTCCTCATAATAATTAACCTTTTTCACGCATGTTATCTACAGAATAGGCAAAACAAAACACAGCAATACTGTAACGAAACAATTGTATTACACAATCAACTGACTTCACAAAAATGTATAATGTGTATGCATGTATATATATTTATATAAATAATTAATATAAGAAACAAAAAGGGGAACAGAAATTGAGAAATAAAGGAAAAGAAGAAGACGAACAAAAAAAACCACAAGTGATCAGTTCAACCCTTGATCGACTGATCGTAGTACCATCATCTTTTACTTCATTGTCATCTCTTCATAGTGAATCCCGATGAGGAGACAAACGCTCACAAACCAGCAAACACACACACACTTGACAATTTTAAAAAGCAAACAAATTGTTAATCAGAAAAGTAAAGAAAAAAATCAATACTTATGTTTATCCCTACCCGAGAAAATTGTGCAGAAACAAAAACACAAAGTGTAATCGCACACACACGCATACACACTTAGAAAAAAAAACCTCTTCACATTTGAACAAATGCCTATGTTTGTTTTCGGGTTTATTTTTTTTTCACTAAAGAGGAAGGTGTTGAAGAGTACAGAGTTTGTGTTGTCAAATCATGGGTGTATCCCGAAAATCGAAAAACACCCACAAACATGCACAAATATACTCCCAACGTGTACATTACAGAACAGTGAAAACAATAGCAATGAACAAGAAATTAGAAAAGGCGGAAAGTCTGCAACATGATAAATAAAGAAAAAATACAAAATGGTGACCGAACGAACAAGAAGGTGGGGCAGGAAACTCAGTCATACAGGCCACATCATAGTATGTGTTGTTGTATATATATTCAATATTCGATAGATTACCAATAGTATTCATAATAATAATAATAGAAGGTGATAATCCCAATAGTAACAATAGTTAGTAATTGTGTGTTTTATGTTCCGTCAACAACAAACAAAAAATTTTTTTTTGATATCAAAGTACAAAAGGAAAATTTATTTTTCTTAGCAAAACACCTTAATTTATTGCATTTAATGCTAATATATGTATATATATATATAACATATGTGTAATAGTAGTTCTAATAATCAAAATTGTTTATTTCATACATTTTAAGGCACTTTTAGTGAAAGAGAGAGATAGACAGACAGACAAACAGAAATATATCAATGAAAGCATGGAGTGTTGTTGTACTTGAACGCAAAAGCTGCTGTGCACATTATATCCCTTTGGCATACAAGAACCAATTGAGTCTTAAGTACACACTGTTTCTGTGTGCGTATATCAGTGTATGCATGCGTGTACATGTGAACTTGTAATACAAATCAACTATGTGTCGTTTGTCTGTTAACAGGATCGCTATGAGCAGCCTACACACACATCCATGCACATACATATATATGATTATGTATTCAACTGAGAAAAGCTTAGATAGATACAACAATCACAAAAAAAGAACAACAGTTATATTTACATTAAAGAAGGAGAAAAGGGAATAAAAATAAAGAAAAGTGAGAGGGTACCCCAAAAACCCACATGTGGCATAACAAACCAGACGGTTATACAGACTAATGAATCCACACGCAAGCACACAAGTGTTACACATATAGAAAGACAAAGTTGGGGCAGAGCGCGGAGTTGGGAGAAGAACAAATATGTCATAAGAATAATGGTATCATTATTGAAAACATTCATTCCTGATTGTATCACACTGAAACGAGTGATGAGTAAGACAAAGAGAAGAAACAGGGAATAAAAGACGATTCGATATAAGAAAGATTGAATGAAACGGCGATCTATTCAAGAAGGAAATAGGGGGGTAACACCATGAAAGTGAAATAGGTGAATAAAGTGTGGAGGGGGAGAAAACCATGTGGTGGGGGGGGTGAAACAAGAGCATCAAAATAAACAAGAAAAACAAAACAACAGAAAGAAAATCACATTACAGTTAAAAGTTAATTAGTATCACCATCATTATTGTTGTTATTATTACCATTCTCAGCACCATTGTTAACCGCCTTTCCATTTATACCATTCGATAAAAGGATATAACCGCTATCGTTTGATGATATTTCATGTGGTGGAATACAATCGGCTACTTTGGAGATGACATCATATGAAGTGTTGCTTTTTTCACACTTGCCCATATCACCATTATCATCATCACCATCGTCATCCGTCATCCTCATCATCATTGTCGGAGGTGTCCTTTTGGCCGTTATTATTATTATTATTGTGCGTATTATAATGATTACTAATATCCTTGTGGTTTACGCACTTATCATTATCTTTGGTATGACTTACACCTGAAGAGGGCTAAAACAAAGAAAACAAAAACAACACTTCAACTAAATATACATGGAAACAGTAAACTCTTAAAATATAAAGGAAAAAGACTTATCAGCAAAATTTAGATGACTATAGGAGTAAACAAAAGTCTAGGTAACGGTAGGCTTTGAACCAACCAATAGAGTTCTTAGCGCCTTGATAACACACACACACACACCAACCACACAGTCTACATCTCCATATATGGCTAGAACCAATAGTCAAAGACTTGATGGAATAATGTCATGCGTGGATTGAATCACTCCTAAATGCTCTTCTGTCTTCATCCTACCAATCACCTACCATTACTCAACGAGGAGGAATCCTCTAGATTTGACAAATTCCTTTTACCAAAAACAATAATTAATCATGACAAAATATTCTACAGTCATCCACTGACTGACTGACTGACTGAGTATCGACGTAGCACTTTGCATATGAGTTAACCAGTTTAAGTTACCACCACCACCCTCCATATAACACAAAAAGGCATAGAAAACAAACAAACTAAATTAGCAAAAATGGATGGGAAAGAGAATCATCACATGAAGAAATACGATGATTCTCATGAATCTGAGAGAGTTTTTTTTCCTTCGCGTTCCCAGTGGAACATAGGGCTTCAAGTTTCAGTGGCAGTGTTAATTTTTACAGGATGGAGTTGCGAGTCTCACGCCCAACCTTTCCACTTTACCAGTTTCACTGCTGGCTTGACAAGGTAAAGAGTGCGTCCAGCGGGGATCGAACCCCAGACCATGTGCATGGTCGACGAGCGTCCTAACCACCGTGTTACCGACACACAATCTGGGAGAGTACAATGAGTACAATTCACCTGCACCACTTAGAACCAACACAGTCTCAACCCATTAGTTCTCAGCTATCTCGTTGATCTCAACCAGTCGACAATAGTCAACACTTCCCTAGGTAGCTCTAATCAATAGTCAATCAATTCAATGGAATGATGCCAGGTTTTCACTTGACCAACCCTAACTCTTATCAATCTAATCCAATGACTTAACATCTCTTAACAAGAAAGGTGATGGTATGACATGAGTGGCACGTGTCCTATCCATCAAACCGACACAGCCTTTAACAACCTAATCAACTCTACGAATAACCTGATAAATAGTACTCATTATATTACACCATCCACTGAAATCAGTTTTTACGCTTACTTGATCCTTTGAGTTCAACGTCTTCTCTGCATCATCATCATCACCATCCACAAAAGAATTTGGTAAATGGTTGTTATTTTTGTTATTATGATTATTACTAATATTGTCATCATATAAATTTGTACCATTCAGCTTTGTTCTCAACTCTGCTGATAAGGATTGTTCTTGTTTCAAGGCATTCCTTTCAACTTCAACAAGATAACGAAGTTTAGTCACTAAAGTAATCAATTCAGATTTAGACATATTTTGTTCATCTGTGTCTGTTGTCGTCGTAGTAGTCGAGAGTGGTGACGAAGGTGACGGTGAAATAGACGATGATTTATCAGTTTTATTATTTGGTGTATCAATCGAGTTGCAATTATTCAACTGAGTTTTATTACGCAGCTGTAAAAGAAAAAGGAAGATAAATAGGTGAAGAATGAGATTGGTTTTAGTTTTTTTTTAAACATGAAGAAATAAACGACAGTGTACTTTAATATTTAAATGCTGCGAAAGTGTGACTCATTGGACTAAGCACATGTCTTTCAACCAATGAGTTGCAGCTTCAAAAACACCGCTTCGCCTTATTTTAACCTCGATAATTGTGGTTAATATTAGTAGCGACCCAAACACAATTGTGAAACTCATAGTCTTCTACATACGAAATCGCTTCAAGGTAAGTGCATAAGTAGTTCAAGGGGTAGATTTCGATTCCCAACTGATTCATTCACAAAAACCTCATCTGACCGATTGTAAACATGGGAAAGAGGGTAGGTTGGAAATAAAGCTTGTAAAAACTACTACTGAAACTCCGAACCTCACAGCTTGTAGCCCAATATTCCACGTGGAACCCACAGGAATAAAGCAGAGAAAATGAAATCAGAGAAAGAGAAAGACGGAGTTCAAACAACAACAAACCAGTATAGGCTGAATTTCGTCTACCAACAAGTAAATGAATGATGAAAGTACTTAATTTATTAATCCTAAAATAATTCTCAAAAATTTGTGAGACAAAACCGCTAATCTACGAGGTTTTCCATTGACAGAAAATTCAGGTAAATTTATTCCAAATGCTTGAATAAGCAGGTGTTCACTTCAAAAATTGCTAATTGAGCACCCTAAATTAATATAATATGTATTAATATAATATATAATGTATGCCAACTGAAAAACCAACTGTATTTTGAAGTGCTAGTATGCAAAGTTACGTAAACGAAATGACATCAGTTAGCTGTTGTGCTGTATACCATGAATTGATAACAGTCAGAATTTATGGGCCATCAGGTATTCCGTGCTATTGGCTGGATGATGACGACCAACAGGACGGACTAGTACCATGAAGGTCCTGAGTGCATGTCACTGAGTTCCAAACCAGGACGAAACAAGTACATAGTCCTGTTCTATCTTCACTTTGCTTCATCTCATTTACTGTGTGAGGGCTGAGATACTGCCAGGGCGCCCAGACCGAAGCAGGTGGTTTTCTTAAGGGACCACCCCCCGAGTCTTTGACTTGGATTCTGATCCGCAAGGCAGCGGAGCAGCATAAGGAGCTGCATTCGCATGGTTATCGGTGACCAATATGGGTTCATACGCCATTTGGATTCTGGAGCCCATGTACCCCATGGTAACTGCTTTTAGTCTAACCGCTATCCAAACAACCTTCGTGACATGGTAGGACCTGTAGGAACATGAGTCCCAGTAAGTTTAGCTTGTTAGGTCACTGCGGTATTCAAGCTCGACCACCACGACATCATATGATTATGAGCAATAGTTTGTGCTCGAAACGTCATCAGCTAATATTACTGTACAACACTGTGTGATTTATCAAAATAAAATCTTATCCATAATGGAGTTATGCTCTACTACAGTATCCAAGTTTTATATTTCAAATATACCTACGCATGCCAATTTTAAATAAGAGAAATAGCTAATTTAATTACTGTTGCCAGTGATCGAAAACATCTATTGTTTTAACAGTTAGCTTCTGAAATGATGGCAGATGACACCCAGTAATTCAATGATGAGCACACCTAGACTAAAAAGTCACAGTTCCACTTAACTTAATACAGCCTTTAAGGCATAGTACGATATATAATAATAATAATGGGAACAAAAGGAACAAAAATGCACAACAATAATAATAAAATTAAGTTCAATGAATGTGCTCTTTGAAAAAGGAAAAACAAAACGACTTTAGCATCTAATATCACTAACCTCTTCAATTGTCTTTGTCAAGGCATTACGATCCTGTACTAATTCGTTCAAAGCTGCTTCAAGTTTAGTTGACTTTGTTTTTAACTTTAAAAAGGAGAGCAATACAACATAACAAAAGTGGTTATCACTATAGGTAAATGGTTGGTCTGAAAATCCCTTCATGCACAATCCTACTTACAATATTTCAAACTTATTTAAATATTTCAATTAATTTTGTATCAAAATTTTTTTTCCTGATCTACGGCAATGTCAGTTTAACATGTTTGCATACCTTCTCTCCTGTCAATTCTTATACTTATTTCTTTTTGTTTCTGGTTGACCCTTATTTCTCTAATGCTTCCGTTTAATAGGGTAAGATGGTGGATCGTAGATAATAAGATGGCGTTTTACTATTTCAAGCTTTATTGAGTGAAGGTCACAAAGTTGCATCAAGGAGTGTCTGCAGGAGACGTGTTCTATCTACTCTGTTTGATTCTTACAGACAGAGTTTTGATCCCACCTGGTTGAAAATATTCTTACTGATATTCCATGTGTATTTTAAACCTGAGTAACTATAGAATTGTATAACTAACAGGCGGCACTCTTGAGGTAGTTTTGTTCTACCACGCAAAATTGTGTATTGATATTTTTGGAATACGATTTTAGACTGTGCACCACTGATGGAAGTTTGATAAGCTAGAAAGGAGAAGAACGCATCGATTGGTTTCTTGAGTTGAGACCAAAATTTATTTATTTTTTGATTACAGCTTGATTCCACACCGTATTTTTCGGTACAGGTATGGAATTTTCAGCATGTGATATCGGTAGCCCAAATTTCGCAGGCCAACCATAGATATCGGGTGTGCGTCAGCAGGGGATCGAACCCCGGACCATGTGCGTGATCGGCGAGAGTCATAACCTCTGTGCCACCGACGCACAAATAAAGAGAGGACCGTGAGGCCTCCTCACTGACAAAAACTACACGCCCGAGAGCCCCCGATTAGGGTCCGTCACGAGTTTCAGCCCACCGAGCTGCAATGGTGAGCCTCCACCCGGGGTTAGAGCATTCTTGATAACCCTGAACCCGGCGCCAGGTAAATTTCGCTCATTACAATTACCATTAGAATTCCCTACATCGATGAGGAACAGAATCACTGATGAACACATTATTTTATTCCTTTACGTTTCTAGTTGAACATCGGTCTTCAGGTTTTATCTTTGAAGTTTCAGCAGTAGTAGTGCTTTTTTATGGGGTGGGGAGTTGCTGGCCTCACAACTAACCTACCCTCTTCGTCAGGATTACAACCGGCTTAGAGAGGTTTGAGAGTGCGTCGGCCGGTGATCAAACTCTGGACCACGTGCATGGTTAGCAAGCAATCTGCCTCCGTATTTACACTACATAACTATATGACCTAGATATAGGTTGTATATGATTCATACAGATTCATACACAATTAACCATCAAAATATAAATAAGATATTCTGCTAACTTTTGCATACTACAAATACAGTGAATAGAATATAACTAAAATTAATTGGCCAAGTTAAACCTTAAGCACCGCTAACTACCAATGGAGTGCATCAGCACCAATGACCTTGAAAAGCTCACTGAGCAAGTTAGTGGAATTCGGCAAATAATAATGTCATCATCAATAAAATATGCTCATCAAAGCATTATGTTATTAAATAGGATATCTGGCAAGTTTCAGCTTAGGTTTGGGAAAGATTAAGTTACTCTTTAAGCCAAGGACAAGTTAGGGTTAGGTTAATCTAACAAGGGCGACAGTTTAGGGATAGTTTCACGTTAGGATTGGGTTCAGGAAAGATTAGGGTTGTTGTTAGGTTTAGAAGACCTAAATAATTACATCCATAGAATGTGGTTAAATTACTCTGTTGACATAAGAATAGAACTCGCGCACTGTGATATAGTTTAGTTCCATTGTGGGTAAAATTTATTCTGATAAAGCCTCACAGTGTTATACAGTAGTAATATTTACTGATGACCATGTTTCGAGCACAATCTATTGCTCAGTAAATATTGCTTTATAACACTATGAAACTTTATCAAAATAAATTTTATCCACAATCGAATTATGCTGTGTTGATACTTCAACCTAAAACTGAGAGCTATTTTTATCATATATGAGAGGATGATATCCTCTGTAACACTTTTATACAGTTTTTATGCAATTTTTTCATAAATATATGTATTCCATATACAAAAATACCTTCTTCACTTGATTGGTGCTTTCGAGGCCATTTGCTGATTGCTGGTTAGTGCTGCCTAAAGTTTAACTATGCCAATTGATTTAAGGTGTTCGCTAAACTGTATTTAGTATACTATTAACATTAAAGTGACTTATTCTTCTTTTCATTGCCTTGTGTGTTTTGAATGGAACATACGATTTCAGGCTTTGAAAGTTTCAGTAGCGGTAGTGTTGTTTTCAAGCTGTACAACCATCAGCTTTACTACCGACTCTGGATTGAATTTTGGCAGTGATTTGGTCAGAAACTGAATCTACACCTTAACCATTGAACCGCTGACGCATACCTTATATTATTATTATTATATATTATACTCAATATTATAAAGGAGAAATGTAAATCAACAACTACTAGCACTTTCATGGAGTTGCCAATTAATATCACCAACTGATATAACTCGTTGGTCAGAGGCTCTGTACGTGGAGGAGCGAAGTTCCAACTCATAACTCAGAGGTGTGTTATCCAGTGGAGCACAATAAAAGAAACATAAGTGAAATGAGTGCAACCTGCTGAAGAGTCACAAACTAAGACGAAATAGCTGTCCAGTATTCCCAGGTTTTCCAATGGTTCTCTAACTGATGTCAGCTCATGGTGAAATCCTCCATGGAAGCAGCATGGGGGTGTGCAGAAGATTATCAAAATTTTAAAAAATTTATTTACCAGTTCATTTTCAATATTAGCAGCATCAAGCGCTTTATGCCAACGTGCCTCTTCTTCATTCACTGAAGTTTGTAGTTTCGATAACATTAGTTCTGTAGCATCCAGTGCTGATTTATACTGTTCCACCTGAGCTTGTAACAATCTATACTCCATAGACTCAACAATATACTGATTGGATTCTGTATTGTTTGACTGATTGACATTCGATTTTCTGTTTAGCAAAGAAAAAAACAAACAAACAGTTTGACAAAGGGAAATATAGAATTACACTTGGAAACTATTTCAATATCTTATAAAAGAAGCAAAAAAGAAAAACAACACAGGAACTGGGCAACCTGTAACCTCCCAGGGAGTAGAAGATGCAACTGACAGATTTTATTAGGTCCACATAGTAATTTCCCTCACCCCAATATGAATTCTGAAAAGTGATGTAACTTAGAAACGTGGGACAAATTTCCAAGTTGAGCTATAGGGAGTTATACCTAATGAGTTAGTTTTGAGACTATACTTTCGGGTTGTTCAAGTCGAAGTAAGTCAAAATGAGATATGCGCCTCGAAACCAACAGTTGAAAGTTTTAACCAATGGGCTACACCTTCAAAACAAACTCGAAACAAAATTCATATTTATCAAATAATGTATGAGATTCGAAGAAATCATGATTTCCTAGGTACAAACATATATCAATCAACAGTCGAGTTGAGACAAACATCCCGTCCGCCACCTCCCCTGCCCAGCTAAATATAAGCCGGTCAAAGACTGTCTACTGTCAGTCACCTAACTGTATACTTGAACTCGGAACATCCAACCACCCTATACTTTCTTTTCTGCCTGCTCCAATAAAATCATTTTTCTTCCTAATATGCATAGGTTGCATTTATATTTTGTAGTACTCACGTTATAGTTACTCCAACTGATGCTTATCTTTTTCAATAGTTGGTTTGTAAGGATTAGATTTGTTTTTACAAGTTTGATCACAGATTGATATTAGTTAGAGAACCATTGGAAAGCCACCAGGGAGTACTGGACACCTGCTGTTTCATCCTAGTTTTGGGGAATCATCGGCTGTACGCACCCACTACCAGGGTTCGAACCCAAGACCTTCCGGTTACAAGACAAGCTCGTATACCATTCAGCTACTGGGACCCGATTCTTATCTTGTCTGTTTATCTGCATGAATTGTATATATAGTAATCAACAGTATGCGAATAACCCTTCATAAAGCTAATATAAGTAATGCTGCTAACTACATGTACTTTGAGTGCATGAAGATTTTTTTGTGAAGATTTCTTACACAAAATATTCTTACAACAAAAAGAGATTACAGTAAGTGAGTAAGTAATAAGGTTAGCAAATCTTGGCTCAATAATCTTAATGTCCTTAATTAGTGCAATTGTGTTCACACTGATATTGGCCATGACCTGAAAGTATATATATATATATATATAATAATAAATCTGGAAACTGCGACACTATGGAATGCTCTATATTTTTATCCGTCTCATTCAACAGCCAAATGACCATGTCATGTGTCAAGTGATTCACAATGGAAAGGAAAGGAGGTAGACAGAATTGTCTACTATCACCAATGCTATTCCTGACTGTAATAGACTAGATCATGCGGCAGACCATGGGGATTCAGAAGATACACATACATTGTACTGCCAGAAAGATTCTAAAAATACAGCGCTTGGCAGATAACTTATGTTTAATGTTACATAGACACGAAGATTTGCAGGTGAAGACTAGCAAGTTTGAAGAAGATGAGAAAGAAGAAGACAACGAAGACAGGTATTCAAGTGAAAATTGAGTTGATGAACACGCTCAAGAGACTAAAAACAGCAAGTAATAATTACCAACAACTGGAAAAATCTAAATGAAGTTGCCTTCTTCACTTATCTAGGCAGTGTTCATTTGAACTAGGAGTGACTCAAATGGGAATGTCAAAGCTAACAAGGATAGTTAAAAAGCAAGATAGACACCTTCAGTACTCCGAAATCATTACGGAAATCTTCTGCACAACATAGAACACAAGCTCTGGATCTTTGATACTAGTGTCGAGACAGTCAGTACTTCTATATTATGGTGGTGTCACGAAAAGCATTCTCAAAAGCCTCCTGAAAAACTCTTATCAATAGTTGCTAACGCTGCACACAGAAGAACATGTGGTCGACGAAAAAGGATAAACAACAAGGAATTCTGGAAACGAACCAACCAAAAACTTAGTGCGGATAAAATAACCAGAAGGAAATGGATATGGCTTGGATATATTTTGAGGATACCATCAGGTGGCACAGTGGTCAGGTCTCTCGCCGACCATGCACATGGTCCGGGTTCGAGCCCGCACCGACGCACACCTGATATCTATGGTCGGCCTGCAAAATTTGGGCTACCGATATCCATGCTGAAAATTCCATACTTGTACCGAAAATACAGTGTGGAATCAAGCTGTAAATCAAAAAAATAAAAATAAAAAATAAATTTCGTGCCAAGCCGTTTATAGTGGAACCCGGATAGGAGGCGAGTTGGGTATCGGTCCGAAGTTGACATGAAGATCTATGGGTAATAGTGACCCTAGCCAAAAAAAATACTGCGGAGAACCGAGTGATATGGAGATGTGCTGCTGAAGCCCTGTATTCCATTCGAAACGTAAGGCATTAATAATAACAATAACCCAAAGGTAGTTTTTCCAAACGGCAAATTCAGATTTAAAGCTGTTATCGACAGAAAACACCTACTGCGTTGTATACGACTGCTTGACAAGGTACAGTCAGATGGGTATTAGAGATATTTTATAATGAAGAAATAAGCTCTCAAAAAAATTGAACATGCAACCAACTTCAACGGTCATATTCAAAACGAAAAAAGAACGTATGCACTGACAATCGATCAAAATTTCCGTGAGTAGGTGATGTTTTTATTTCTCAGTATTTTCTGGTCACAGAAAGTCAAATAAATAAATTAATCCCAAATGGAGAAATAGCTATTTTCAGAAGTCTTTAATTCAAACGTGTGTTTTTTTCACACTCCTTTTTACTCTGATTACATAAGGGTGCCAGTATTTACGAATACACACGAATCCGTGTAATCAAGCACTATGCAATGAATGGACTGAAACACGAATACATTTTGCAATATTAACAAAAAAACACGCCTATGCTAAATATATAAGTTACCGGAACGAAAAATACGTTTTGTCCAAAATAAGAACTAAGTTGAATACACCACCGAAATGTTCGAATAACACACTATAGCTGATCAATACCATACAGATGACTATTTGCAGAAAACCTAGAAATCTTATGATAGAGAAGAATCCAACCACTGATACAAGTGAATAGTGATGAACCTGTTCCCATCTCTGCCTCTTTTCTGTCGATAACGATGTCCGTTCAGCCTGATATCGTTGCATCACTGGTGCAAATTGCGAAACCTCAAAATTACATACATATTAATAAGAAGCTAAAAGGCAAATGGCATATTATAATCATAATAAAGGCGGAAGGGGAGAGAGGCGACAACCGACTGTGTCTGAAACACCGAGATTCTATAATCATGTTGTTTGAATTGAATGTTTGGAAAAGGGGTTTTCACGTTCCAGGTTATGAACCCAAACACTTGCTGTGTGAAGGCTAGTGAGTTGTAATTACTCACTCGCCAAGGCTTGAGTAGAAGCAGTAGAACTCCAACCCAGTGACTGAAAGTCGGCTGCTTGAGCCAATGAGTCACATCGACACTTCTTAAACCATGGGGTTTTGCCATCATTTATATGCGTATTGTAAGCGCCCAACACCATACACCTCCCTCACTGAATCAATCTGTATATTTGTCGACACAAGTGATAACGATAATAATAAACGCCAGCATTCTTGTTTCCACATGGTTAGTTATGCAACTGATTTGTCATATACATATATATATATATATATAAACAGAATCGCTCAACAATAAATTGTATCTACTGAACGTTCCATTCAATTTATGTCGGTAAAAAAAAGTTGTAAAATAACTAGGAAACGATTACTATTAATATTATTATCATCATCATCATGACTGCCAGGCGTACTGATCAATATTTACATGGAATAATATCTGTCGAACACATATCTCTATAAGAGTTACGCATCATCACAATTCTACAAGCTGTTGAAATATCGAGCGCACCTAAATGACTTTTACTACATGTGTGATACATACTGAAACAGAAAACTGATTTCAAGACATGAAAAATGCAATAAACAATAGAAAATAAAAAAGACGAAAACCGAGTAAATTATTTTTTAATTCTGTTTTTGTCTGAAATATGTAAAGCAAAATGCGTACCTTCTTTAGAAAAAATGATTATTGAAATTTGCTAATAGTTGTCTTTTTACGTGTAGTGACTAACGCGTATTACTGATGGAGAGAGCAAATGCTAACAATATAGTTTAGTGAGACTGTGACTAGCAGTGGAATCCAAGATGCGCATTTCGTCATATTTAGGATTCGTCATCCGTGTGTACCTGCAGTCACAAGTGAGTGATGGTGTCCTCTCACTGAGACTCAAACACCACTCACTGGGGATTGTGGGTACGTTCAGATGATGAATCCCGAACAGGACGGAATGCTCATACTGGATTCCCCTGCTGCTGCTGCTGCTGACCATCCATCAAAATTACTTCAGGTCAATCCTCAAGACATCGTCAAAGCATCCGTACAAGGCGCCAACATGTCAACAGAACCTGAACAATTCGGTCCGATCAGTCAATGGGAAAATCAAATTAGACTAAAAATCAAAAATGCTGACAGGTTTAATTGTTACAGTTAAGCAGACAGGCATGTATTATATGCATGTGTGACAGCAGTTGGTTACACCATGAAGTTTACCGAAGAAATTATAGCTAACGCCTCTAGCAAATGGAATTACACTCGCAATAAGGACTCTAAATTACCATTTTAAAAGAAAAAACAGATACTAACTGTATCTTTTCTCATTGGACAGACTGGTGAAAAAATACATTCAATTGTGTCAAAAACAGGTAGAGATCCAGGTGACACAGTATTCAAAATTCACCGGTTAGACTTTCCCCATCTTCCTTGACTAGCTAGATAATAATCAAACGAGCACAGAGAGTTGTAACAGCTTCTAAACCAGTATATATCTTTAAAGAACAAAGTATAAACATTGTGCAGAATGCATATTGAATTAAACTGGTGCCCCCAGTGCCAAATTGATCAGGAGAATTCAATCTGGTCCATCACCAAGGACTAGGATCACGACAATGGTTACGTCCTGGCGACTAATCAATGCCTTCATCACAGTTTTGAAGGGGGAGGATAATGGTGGGTCAAACTCTTTTCCAACCTAATCCTATGTCAGCCAATACTAGCCGGTAGTTTGGCACACGTTACACGCGTGTCTTAGCTACTTTAATCAATACAGCACGAAAACCTCATCAACAGACACCTTACCTAACCCTCTAAGACTATCTCATTCTGTTATACCACTTAAGACAAACAAACGCCGATTGTGAAAGACACATTTTCTCTTCAAGCCTACCACCTTCAATAGACATGTCTCACATAAAGAACAGACTGAACCGGTGCACAGTACACACACCCTATGATTGATAGCCAGTTATCACGTCTGCACCAGATATGAGCCCCAAGAGCCTTTTTATCAGTAACAATATTTTGTCAGTCGATCAGTCGATTAGGACTGACACTACTTCCTAAATAAGTGAAGTGGTCTATAAAATCCAACTACTCCCTACCTTTAAACCAGAAGTCAGTCCAAACCAGTCCTGAAGCATTATCATCTTCCATTTTAGAGAAGAGAGTCGGACGCCAAAGATACTGAGATTTTCGCCCGTGCTCTGAAACACTTCGTATTTCGTCAGCATCTTCACCTATAAAAAATAATATCATCTGAACGATCTACATCGACGAGACTGTACCCTGATAACAAGACAATCTCCAAGTCGATAAAGTCAGTTAGAGTCAATCCTCCTAATCCATTTAGGATGAAATTAAAAAGAGAAATAGCAGACAATGGCCAGACACGTTAAAATTCGCAGTAATCTCTAATAATAACCGACAAATTATGTTTAGCGTAAACAATTACCTATTGCACACATCATCAGAAGTCTGCATATCTTTATCTTCATTTGACACAGTATTCATTTGTTCAGTAACCTGATTATCTTTCTGTGCTTGTAAATGCTTCACTTCAACTTCATACAGGCTAATTTGTTTCTTTTGTTCCTCAGCTTCTTTAGTTAACTGTTCCAGTTTTGCCTCCAATGTATGTATCATATTAATGTGTGATTTTTCATTAGTTTGACTATTGCACAGTAATGACTTTAATTGTTCTTTTAAGTCATCGACAGTATGTTGATGTTGTTCATTCAGTTTATGTAAACGTTCTTCATATTCAGTTACTTGTCGATGGAATGCACTACACTGTGATTGAGATGCAGCCAATTCGGATACAACCGTCTATTTAGTTTTGCAGAAAACACAAGAAGAAGAAAACAACGAAATAAAACCACTGGAAAACAAATACATATATATACGATTGAATTAATCAAGGTTAATCTGAAGATCTAATTCACACAAATGGTATGACAGTGAACATATAAAAAATAGGTAGGACACGATTACCTAGTCTTCTACTGAATAAGATGCAGGAGGGTGTGAAGTTAAAAATTAGGCTTTTTAAACATGAATTATATATGCTTGTACAACATGGTGACTAATACTGAGATCAGGCGCACAGTGTTAGAGAAGAAGGATAAGTCGATAGATCAGATTGTGAAGTTACATCCCATTTATTTGACTAGCAACACACACGTGTGATATACGCGGAACCATCATCTCACTCCTCGAGCAATACCAGCTGGCATAGGATGAGGTTGGAGAAGAGTACAGCGTTATTTGATGAAGTCTCCATTTGACCCACGTATAGCGTTGTGGACTGTTTGGTCGAGGTTCATAAGATGCTAAGGATCACTACCTAATGTAACTGCCCTAAATGGCGCAGATGGATCCACTTTCTGTGATCTCCCATATCCATCAATTCCTCACAATTTCTCATGTTACTATTCTTTCTCGCACACATTTCTTCTCATTACAGTTCTTTCGAATCTCACTTTTCTCCTTTTTTCACCTTTATGTGCTACACAGAATGTAGCGAGTTGAACTGCCACACTTCTGTGCAAAGTTCTATGTTGAAACTACATCAGTGAGTGCAAACAATACAATTTTGCTTCAATGAGAAGTTTTCACTGGTACCTTCATTCACAACAAATCAAAGTAACAACTTCTTTTCACTTTTTCCCAATCTGAGCAGTTACTTAAACTACATCCATGATGGTATATCAGTATACCACAACCAACGTGTTGATATATTCAGAACTGAAAATATTGGAAAAATGCCTTGTTTATTAAGTACCTTACATGTAAGCTCTTTATCGGCAATTACTTATCAAGATATTCTCACACCTACAGGCTTACAAATAAAATTACGCACTGCAACAGAAGAAAAACTGGTATGACAACAAAAAATATTTAAAAAATTCTGTCTGTTTTCGATATATAACTTTGCACCCATGTGCAGGAGTTCAAGTCGCCACACACAAACCAAGAGAAGAAAGTAGAAGAAATGCATAACAGAGACAGTAAACAGAGGTGTGAGACAAAGAAATAGAAGTAACGAAGATCAATGTAGTTTCATTGGAAATCATAGGTCACAAGGAGTGGGTGCATCTACTTTAGCCATTGAGAACAGTTTTGAGCCATATCACCAATTGTTTCCAATCATTGGCTTTTACCGTCCCGAGGACCCCAACCAGTCAGGAAGTCTACATCTTCCTACATGCCTGGCTTAAACTCACTGTTGTGGATTTCATTGACTGGTACCATGTTTTGGTTTGACCGCCGCTAGCTTTTTTCCAGCCTGACCAATACTATGTCAGCTAACATTTCCCGTCAGTCGAGGAAGGTGATGACTAAACATGTATGCGTAACACATGTCCTAACCATCTCAGTCGATGTGTTATCACAGGCTCGTCGATTGATTTCCCCTCCCACCTACCTAGCACTCAACTGACGCCTAATCTCAATATTGCTCACCTTATTATACCACTTCACACGGGGATAGAACACAGGTACCTATGTCCAAAGATAGCTACTGAGGATTTTCATGTCTTCCACTCTCAACGGCCAGGTCTCACAGCCATAAAGGAGGACGGAGCGGACTGATGAGCAGTATACACGCCCTTTGGTTGATAGCCGGATATCACGTCTACTAAGCCAGAGACGGCGTAAACAGGTATATGCGAAGCTAGCCCTCTGTATCCATGCTAAGATTTCGTCAGAGGTCAATCCGTTGGGGCTGATGCAACTTCCCAATTTAAAAAAGTCATCAGAATATAGGATAGAAAAGAGATAGATATTCCTAACAGTTGATTAAATGACTTCAAAAAAAAACAAATTTATAAGAAGTATCATGATCAAGATACATTTTATTGTTTATAGAATGCACAGTTTTCTTTTTGCTTGTTTGTTTGTTTGCTAGTCTGTCAGTGAATTCATTAACTGTTAGTCAACGAAGATGCTTCTCTTATGCACACAAGAGGAAAAAAGTGACAGAAAAACTATGATTGAGAGACAGAAAGAAAGAGAAAGAGTAATAATCATTACCTACTCCTCTACCACTACTATCACTAGGCATAGTTGACTTGTTTAAATATACATGTATGTATAGAGAACATAACATAGTGTTGTTCAAGAACAAGATCATATGACAATGTATTCTCACTATTACCCTACCACCACCACCACCACATGATAGCACAATTTCTGATAAGATAGGTATAGAGAGAGAAAACAATAGACTTTAACTTTATTTTAAGCAATACATACACACACACAGGCATACAATAGAAAAGGCTTACTGACAAGGCGACATCGACTGAGACATGCTACATAATCTACAGTCACCTTCAGTCGATGTTGTTTTTTTTTTTAATTCAGAACACCTGAATTCTTAACACTAATGTCCAGTCACGCAGTGCTTCTTTCTATGTGCTTCAGAGACTTGGTGTGCTCGTCACTGCGTCGTCTTAACAGAGTGTTGAACGATTCCACAGGCCAACGCATGCCTTCTCCCAACAATACTGAAGATACCATAGTCAGTAAGAAAGAATAAGCAAGAAACAAGGAACTATGTTGATGCACAGAACTAACCAAGATGAAGATGGGTCAGACATACGCTTAGGAGATATCTAACTGACATTACACGCCAGTCCGTTGGGTAGAACCTGACTGGTAAGCAAGAGTTTGAAAATAGGTGACATCTGGATCATATGAAAAGGAAATGAAAGCCTATAAACAGTTAAAAAGAGCTAGTTGAAAATGATAACAAAGAGCTGGATGTACACAATGGAGATGTGCTACAGGAATACCAATAATTGTAACTATAGGCTGAGGTGATTACAGACTGACAGTTATAGAAAAAATTAACAAGACAGGTAAATAGAACACTATACCCGTAGAGAGTAACAGTGAAACGTGTTTTCTTTTACACACAACTACACAGTGTTGACCAGTCAGTATTACTAAAGTGTTAATTCAAAATTCAAGTGATTTAGACACTCCTTAAAGTAGGTGGGCCTACCTACCTACGTATCATAACTGTGAATTATAACTGTACATGATGCAAAAGCAGTATGAACTGTGGAACTAGGCTTACACTATTCAAAGATAAAAACAAAGTATGAAGTAGTGTACTTGAATACATTCAGAAGAAGTGTGACTGGTCAGCAACAACAACAACGAATGACTATACACTGTGTTTCATTATTCACCGAATCGATCAGATTTACGCTAAGCTCCGTGTCTATTTCTGTTCTAAAGAGTTATTATTTTTTTTAAAGTTAAAACACAGATATTATTACTTTAAATTTAGATGATACGAAATAATAATAATAGATGACCTCTACAAGTTGACAAACAACAATGGATATAGAAAATACATACATACACATACACACACACACACACTACAATGGTGATTACAAAAGACGGACGACTTACTGCGTGTTTCTTATTCAATTCATCATAGTTACGCGTCAATGTATCTTTTTCATCACGAAGTAAAGAGTTGCTTTCCTCAAGAGCCTGAAATAATGATAATAATAATAATAATAATAAGGTGAATGAAAGTTGTAATTACAGCTTTGTCGTAGAGTATAATTGATATAAGCCAAATAGTTGTCTGTGTATCTCACCCTACAGATACCACACTAGTACGACTCTTAGTGACAAATGAAAGCATATTTACAAATATTGAGCAGACACTTGAGCCTAGATATACTGTGTACCTGTCGTAAAGATAACAGATGAGCTGACACACATTTACAGAAAACGAGAGATAACTGAAAGAAACTCTATAAAACTTGTTAATACCGTAAATGAAAACTCGTTTTTACATTATGCAAATTATCAGTAGGACTACTGAAAGTGAGGATCAGGTCCCAGTGGCTAAATGGCCTACGAGGTCGTCTTGTAGTCAGAAGGTCCTGAGTTTAAACCCCGATGGGTGCATACCGCTGCAGAGTCCCAAACTGGGACGAAACAACTGTCCAGTATACTCCCAGGTTTTCCGAGGGTTCCCTAACTGATGTCAGCTAATCATGTGATCCTCCAACCAATCAAACAAAAATTCCCTAGAAAACCAATACTTGAAAAGTGAGTATTAATTTTAAGTCAAATCACAACATACTTAAACAGAAATGAAAGAGGTTCAGTTTCCTCCGACATTTTTAGACGCCAGGAACGTTGTAAGTAATGAATGAGAGATTTACTAAAGCTGTCTTCAACAGACTCCTGGAATCTGTTCCCGAAATTTCTCTACGATCGATTCATATTTTGAATTCACTACAATTATACGGTTAGTTGTTTTATACAATTGGTGGATGGTGGCTAGCACTGGATTCCACTGCTAGCCACCATCCACCAATTGTATACTAATTAAATACCCAGACATCGTCGAAGCATCTGCACAAGAAGCCGACATGTCAACCTGAGACCGAGCACTTCGGTCCAATCAATCGACGGGAAAATCAAAAATTCAATTCAATAGTTAGTTGTTTTAGTTGGAGTTCATTTGCAACTTCAAGTTGGCGACATCACGCTTGCTACTACCACAGAAGAAATGGCTTTGAAAGTACAGATGCCAAATAACATACAAGGATACAAGATTCTTCTGTTTACATAACATACATCTACCTGATTAGGCTACAAACAAGAGAGGCATTATGTAGGTGGTAGCCTCACTAGACAAACTTTTGGATTTCCTAGCACTGATTTTCTCACCGGTTAAACGACTACCACAAAGATTGTAGAAGTGCCTAGGATGAGATCACAGGAATGCCGAAACATCAAATTTCTGAATAATTTTCAAATTGTTTCTAATGTATCCTTTCCTATGCGACCGGTTTTAGATATATTTTGTGGTGCTTTTGAATGTAGATACAAGATACGAGACATTAGCCTACATACTAGCCTACCTTCAGATGAATGCTTGTTGTCATACTACTACGACTAAGGGCAAGGAATTACAAAACCTATGTGCCAACAATGTAAATCAGCGCAAGAGCATATAGCAACAAAGTATTTAGTGACAATGGTAGGAACTAAAAAGGAATTGGATAAATGCTCAAAGCAACGTAGATAAAAAATGATATACAGTAATTTACTCAGTAGAGGTGTGAGCTGGTACTCCAAAGCTCACCTATCTGTAAATCAATCATGTGAAAGCTGGAGATGAGAATAGTCAGAATCCTTATATAAGATGTCAATAGTTAATCAAAGTTAAGTTTCCTAGGACAGGTTTTTTCATATGAGGGCTGATCATATTACGGAGTTACACAGGTCAAAGTAAATGGAGTAGAATACAACCCTGGAAATAACTGCCTGCTTCAACCCACGAGCTATGTATATACATATCCACAGAAACAATAAGAACAACTATTACTAATATGTATGTAAGCATAAAAATATTGATTGACTTACTTCATAATTTTTCCTAAGCGATGAAATATCCACTCGAAGTGTTTCAAGTTCCTCTAATCGCTGATTGACATTGTGTTCGCTTTCCTAGTAAAATAAAAATAACACATAGGATGTTACAGTATTAGGCATTTGTACTGGGATATTATTATTATACAGATTACAAAGGTCTAATTGCTTGATAACATCATATGACTATTGGAAAATTCAGAAAACAGTCATGCCTCTGACTTCGGTTCAACAATAATCCAGTGGAATTGATATAAGAATAAAACTTGTCCACTAGTAGAGTATACATAATACCCATAATGGAATCCAGTGGAATAATTATCACATTCATGTTAAATATTTATTGGTATGTTTGCTGGGTATTTTTTCTACCTGGTCCTAAGAACACGAACACCTTGACAATCAAAATGAGGTAAGAATGGAAGTTAGAAGTGTCTGTCTGTCAACAATGAAAGGAATGACTACACTGACTGGAAAAGATGAAATGTGAAGTTATCTTCTTGACCATAAGTTGGTACTTTTTAAGAATTGACCACGGATTGATATCAGTTAGCGAATCATTGAAAATCAGGGAGTACTGGACAGCTGTTTCATGCTAGTTTGGGGATCATCGGCAGTATGCACCTACGGGATTCGAACCCAGGACCTTCCGGTTACATAACAAGCTCGTATACCATTCAGCCACTGGGACCCGATTCAATGGCCAGTTCATGAATTCTAACTTTTAGCAATTCGTGATTATAGCGCAACCCCAACCGTTGTTTCGAAAGGAATATACCCTAGACACACTAGATCTCATTAGACAGTACGATTATACATGCGCACCAGACAACTTTAATACGCGGTAATAAGCACCTTATATTGGCAGGAAAATATTTAATCAGCTTTTTGAGAGTAGATCTGAATTTAAACATGAAGGAGATTATATGAGTAGGAAATGAAAACGTGTAGGCAGTCATAGAGTCAATTAAACAAAACATCAAAGAATAGGACACAATGAAGATGTGTTAGTGAAGCTATATGTTCAACTCAGAACCCAAGAGACGAATGACAGTAATGATAATTTTATCACCTCCACACAAAAAATAAACAACATCTCCACTAATCACAATGAAGACTGAGTAAACCATATCGGTGAACTTTAATTAGCTGTACTTCAACTCATAGTGTACGGGAAAAGAGACAATAAATCAACTGAGAACAGTTAAGCAACTTTTTTTACGAGAAAGAAGTTAGTCTTTCCTAATATTTAGAAACTAAGCTCAACAATTTATAATAGACTACATCTCATGGTGTACACCACAACCTGGAACAATAAACTCAACGGAAATATAGGGGAAATGGTAAAAACAAAAGGATAGATCAATACACAAAATTGTGTAAAGCGCGATAGTAGAATACACACTTTCCATGATATCCAATCAAATGTGGATTATTAAGAGATTAAAAATGCAGAAAAATAGAACATTTATTGAAAAATTTTGACCTGAAGCATAGAGAATATATCAAACAATGCATATATAGTGTTGGTAGTATATTGTATTGTGATAAATTGAAGGAATCTCGTAAGTATTGCATAACATATATTCAGTAAGTTAGTTTCAAAGGGGAAGAACAGACACGAAAATCTACTCCAAGTGTTGCAACCACAAAATCCACTTTCGTCTGGATTAAATGTGGATTACAAGTTTATTATTATTGTTCCCTTGGGTTTCTAGTAGAACATAGGGCTTCAACTGCACGTCTTTACTTCCTTCTGTCTTCTGCTGTACTTTTCACTTGCATCCATGTTAGTTTCCATACTGTTTCAACTCCTCTTCACACGATCTCCTCCACCCTTGGACGTCCCACTCACCTCTTCCCTTTCGAGTTCCACTCCAGCAATGGCCTGATGCGCTCGCGATGTCACTCAGCGGCCTCCTTAGCCAGCGAGTGCCCAATCCATCTCCACTTTCACCTGCATATTTGTTGGGCGAATTACAAGATTACAGTCAGAAAATTATTACAAGTGCTGGCTTGTAGCTGTAGTTTTCAACAGTTCGCTCTAACTAAAGATAGTTTGTGATCAGTTTTGAAACAAGTGAAATCCCTATAAACCAAAACTCGAAAATTAATCTAGTCCTCACTAGTGACTGACAATAAGATTATGTAGTTTGAAGTCCTAGTAAGAAGTAGTAACCAAAGGGATCCAACAAGCTTGCAACGAGCTCAGTGTGATCAAGAATGCTTTGACCCCTAAGGGAGGGGGCTTACCACTGTACTTAGGTGGGTTGAAACTCACGATGAAGCCCAATCAGGTACGTTCAAATGAGTAGTGCCTACATGGTAACACCCTAGATATCACGAATTAGCAGAAGTTAGAATTGATGGACCACTGGATGCCCCTCCCAGTGGCTCAAAATAGACAACGAGCTTGTCTGAGATAAATCCCCGGTGGGTAGAGTCATCGGTGAGCGTTGCTGAAGAATTCCAAACTAGAACAAAACACCTGTATCTAGTACGCCATAGTTTTCACTTGTTCTTTAACTTAAGTGATGTTATGAATAAACTTGAAATCAGTTATATGCTACCAATACAACATAATCTGGTATCATTGTGCAAAAAATATCTCAAAATAACAGATGTTCTAACCATCCGAAAAGGAGTTTCTAAAACATTGACACATACAACAAATGGACCAAAAGTGCAAAGATGGTACCTTGGAGCCAGTAAATAATATCACAAAAATGTCAATAACGTGAAGACGTAAACGCCTACCCTATAACACGCAACACATTATTAACATATCTCTCTATTTTAGACCAAATAAAATAGACATAGTGTCTATTAGAGAATGATGATGATTAAGAACAGCAGAACTCTTTCACACATATAAATGAATGGTACATCTGGCATAAAAAGGCAAGCGCTAACTACAACTACTAACAAGCGTTCTACCCTTCCAATCTGTAATTCACCCTCTCTAACACAAACTAGCACAACTAACAATACTGTTGTACACATAATCCAGTAATATACATTTAAAAAGAAATAACCAGTCGGTTACGCATAACAAATTATGTTAATATATCCACTAAATAAAAAAAGCCAAGGATGCCAAAACAAGGTCTATTATTGGATGACCTTGAATGGAAACAAAGAATATGTGAATAAGATTCATCAGTTAGCGCACAGTAAAAATAAAAATTCATTACGGCCAATTGTTAATTACAATTGAAATACAATGAAAAGTATATATGTATATACGTTCATTTATAGTTCGGTGGACAAATACACCTACACATCTACGTATCTAAGACGTTCTTGATTTAAATAACAGTCTAGCCAATAACTTTGACGTGTTTTAGTGACATGAAATTTCAGTGTAAGGCTTTTTTTAAAATTATTTTATCATTACATTTGCCAAATAAACAATTCGGTACGTCGATGGCATAGCGGTTAGCACGCTCGCCGACCATGCACATGGTCCGGGTTCGATCCCCGGCTGACGCACTCCTTTACCTTGCCAAGCCAGCAGTGAGACTAGTAAAGTGGAAAGGTTGGGCATGAGGCTAGCAACCCCATCCTGTAAAATAAACACTGCTACAGAAACTTCAAGTTAGTGGATTGAAGTCTTATGTTTCACTGGGGAACATGAAGGAAAAAACCAGTTCGCCTAACAAACATAACTGAGTTCTACAACCAGATACTTTTCTAAGTCGGATAATTAGACTTCTTGTCGGTTGACAATTTCTTCTATGTAGTATGAAGTGTCGATAAATAAAATCCAAATGGAGTCCAGTAGACCCTGACAAATAACTCCACATATAACTTAAGAATTGTACTCCGAGAATAAATAACACTTATCGGTATGGAAGTGACTGGTGAAGATGTTGTGTCTAGTAGAAAGACAGTGGAAAGTTTTGCAACTGAACCACCTCTACACCTCAGAGGATAGAATTATACTAAAATCATCCACCTGAACGACAAAGCCTCTCTCTATCAATGATCAGCAGCTACATGATGAGATAATATGAAATGAAATATTGACGAAACAAAAGCTTATTACTGTTTAAAACACTGAGACAAGATATGATATGATATAACTCAAGGACCTAGATGCGAGAGCCAACAAGTGGCGGGAACAGACTGCCAACAAAGACGGGACTTCAAGTGAACATAGAGAAGACAGAGGTGATGAAGATACCGAAACAGCGACGGCGATAGCCAACCACTATCAATGGAAGACATCCGGACAAAGTCACTTCTTTCACTTCTTACTTGGGCAGAGTCTTTCAACTAAATGCGGCACAGATGAGGATGTCACAATCAGTCACAATCGGAAAAGTAAGACAGGCACTAGTACTCTGAAACCAGTGTGAAAATCTGTTGCAATAAGCATGAGGTACAATATCCGGATTTTCAACATTGATGTCAAATAAGTGTTTTTGTATGGTTCAGAGACTTCGTGCACGCATTTCCAACAGACTGCTTGTCGCAGACTTTCATCAGCAACTGCATTCGCTCTAGGCTGAAGATCGAATGGCCCGTTAGAAAGGATAAAACAACGAACCATTCAAAAACCGATTACCTAACAAATGTGCCGAAGGAAATGGAGATGGATTAGACATAAGCTCAGAAGACCGTCGAATGACACTGCGTACCAGGAGGCTCTCCAGTTCAACCCAGATGGGAAACGGAGAGTTCGGGGTGTGCGAGGGTGACATGGGCGCAATCATGTGAAGAGGAAACGAAAGCTTATGGGCAATTATGACGGCAGCTAAAGATAACTGCAAAGAATAGGATGAACTGGGGATTTGCTAATGCAGACTTATATTCCACTCGAAACTCGAGGGAATAACAACAATAATAACTATCATATGATACCGCACTACATCGACATAATGTTACTCACATTAACTACAAATAACTGATAGAAAGTAACTTTACAGAAACCAGAACTAGAAGTATCGACCAGATAACTATCCGGCACCATCGCAACCTCTCCGACATTGTATCATGAACGGTGATGCTTTAGAAAACAAGAATTAAATTAAATTCGCAATCTGTTAATATGCGAATAATGGCAATTCACACAGTCAAATTTCGCCAAAGTTTTCTTTGGTAACCGAAATTATTCAAGTTACAATACACCTGATCTACTTGATACAATAAACGTCAATTAAGAAAGCAAGCATAAATGGACGGGTGCTATATGTAGTACTGATTGACTCATAAGAGCAATTGGATACTACACACATCAACTAGTAGTAGTGCTTTCTAGCCAGATTGAATTGCTCTTAACACTCAACAGCTGTTTGAAACAGACTGCACTAGTTATGTACGCGGTTTGACTCAGTGTTCAGAGAGACGAATTTATCTATCCAAGCTACCAACAGGATTTCTTACTCACTTCCTTCAAAAATTTGAGCAAGTGACTTTTGTTCTAGGGCTGTACTGCTCTTGACGCTTAGAATAATTTCATCAATTATCCAGCTGGTCAGATATGCCTTAGCACCAATATATTGTTAAAACACAGAAAGATGCTCTCATGCACCAGTAAAAAATACGTTATGCTGCTTACATCCAGTCATTGACAAATGCCTTGATTAATTCAATTTGATAAACAGGGTCTATTTCATTTAATGCACACGAAATAATAATAATAATAATAGTGAAAAGTTAACAAACCTCTAATTTTCGACGATGTACTTCAGCTTTCTGTAAAGCATCATTCAATTCTTTTTCTAAACGCTTATTCTCAGTCTCCAGATGCTGCAGTTTTTCGGATTGTGAATCCAATGACTGCTGTAATAGTTTTGCTTCATCGACGGATTTAGATTTTGAATCTGATAACTTTTTATTGGCTGCATCCAGGCGAGTCTTCAAGTTCTATGAATTCAGTTTGTAGAAGAAGAACAAGTGTTTATCAATAAGTGGAACTCATTCCTCGGAGATAAGCTTTGTAGATCAAAAGGATCCTACTGATCCAATTAGATATAATAATTTAATCTACAAAATACATTCTAAAGACTGTGCAGCCAAATACAAAATTCATACCAGTATTTTGATTTTTGATTACAGCTTGATTCCACACTGTATTTTTGGTACAAATATGGAATTTTCAGCATGGATATCCGTAGCCCAGATTTTGCAGGCCGACCATAGATATCAGGTGTGCGTCGGCAGACGATCGAACCCTGGACTATGTGCATGGTCGGCGAGAGTCCTAACCACTGTGCCACCGACGCACAGTAGATCAGAGTCCTTCAGGTTATGCGAACATAGGAAATCAGCTAAGCGTAGAATGAATAATCCCGAAAAGATGAACAGCTTAAAGAAAAACTCAGCAATCACAGTGCGTGGATTGACACACAATCACACAATACAATAGGACAGAGTTACAGTTCTAAAAAGTAATATAGATAGGTGAAAAACACGTTGATCACTGAATCTCCGTTCATCAAACCTACACTAAACACGTGCAACAGGAATGACGTAACGCCGATACCATAGACGAAATAAATTACCACCAATACAATCAAAGGACAATTACGACACAATGGAATTGCATGAACAAAGTTTGGAAGTTCCATGAATGCCTTGATGTAATTATGTGAACAGTAAATTTTGTCCTAAACGTCATCAGTAAATAGAACTGCACATGTCTTTATCAAATAGAATTATTCTATAATGGAATTACCACAACTGCCTTACACTACATGCTCTCACCAACGATCTGGTACGGCCGACGGTAGGTGGATTTTGGTCATCCTCTCGAAATGCTCTCATACAACTACGCGTTAATAGCCCCTATCAGGCAAGTCATATACACTGCCTTCACGCAGCGGGGATGTTCCTCATAGTAGTGAAAGGGCAAATGCGAACATTTGACGCTTATAAAAGCACTGGCGGACATGCTGGTCTACATAAGGGAGCTGGAAAACCTTGATTCCATACCTATGGCGTACAGGCATTCTAGAATGCGAAGGGATCGAATGGTGTATGAACCTGTTCTGGTCATAGAGATCCACAAGAACGCTGCTCCTCACACTGTTTCTATTGTCTTGTGGATTAAACTTCAAGCCGATGGGTCGTCAACGACCTCTTAAACCAACCATCTGCTTCGATTTGGACGTTCAGGTAGTATCCTAGCCCTCACACAAACTACGAGATTTTGTGTTTTTCATTAACAATAACTTACACTACACAAAATGTGAGCCAACAACCCCATGAATTTATATCCATTTAACACGTCTAGGGTAAGCGCATTCGTAACCCCACATCTGACTGGCTAATCGTCGGTATATGGAGCGAGATTTGAACCAATGCCCTAGCCAAAAACCTACAACTCCAACATTACGTTAAGTGGTTATTAGCAAGTCAGATTCTATAGCAATTATAAGGTCGGAGAAGAGAGAAAATTTACCAGTAACATCAAGAAAAACCTTCAATAATGAACCGTCTCAATAGCAAAAACACCAAACACAACAGCAAAAGTAGAACCACAGAGGAATTTTACGTTTATAACCAGTAGGACAATTTTTTTTTATTATAGCTTGGCTCCACACTGTTTGTTCTATACAAGTCTGGGATTTCCAACATGTAATACCGGTAGACCAAATTTTGCAGGCCGACCATTGATATCGGGTGTGTGCAAGCAGGGGATCGGACCCCAGACCATGTGCTTGATCGGTGAGAGTCCTAACCGCTGTGCCACCAACGCACATATCTTAACTTCGATTTGAATCTACTTCATGTACAAACGTTAATGACCACCAAAGACGATTTTATGATATAATCAGTTAAAATAACTAAAAAAACAAATCTTACCGTATAAATACGTGAATACAGGCGACCAACAATAACAGCTCATAATTACTAATGAAGTCGTAGATGCCGAACAAAAGAAAACAACGATGGCCTGTCTCAATAATCACTGGGTTCCCAGGGTTTCCACCCACTAAAATGCATAAACTCTTCAACATTTCTCACTGTTTTGACCACGTAATCAAATCAAATGATCACAATACAAACTCGCGGAAATATTCAACAAGCAATCAAAGAAACGCTGAGCAATTCTTGAAGGAAATGAAGTAAAGCAAAATGTACAGGATTGGTTCTCTTTCATATGCAACAACACTATGTCACACGACATCCTGTACGAAGACGAAATATTTCGGAGCGCTGAAAATCTTGGACTATGTGTTCAAATATTGTTTGAAATAAAGCCTTATTATTATAATTATTAATTTTGTGGTTGACAAATTACTGAAGTCAACTCAACAAGTATGTGAACTTACTTCACTACGTTGTTGATATATCACTACTTCTTTGGCTAAACGAGCGATTTCTGCCTGAAGAGTAGACAACAGTACCGCATCTGGATCGTTCGATGACGTCTTTGTTTGTTCCCTTTGAAAAAAATAATTAAGAAAGAAAATAAAGGATAAAAAAATCAAGAGGTAACAATGAAAGACAATGGAAAGCAAAAAAGAAAAAATAAGAAGTACTTTTTACCGACTAGTTCTCACTTATCACTAAGACGAATTTCCTAACATATGCACTTTCGATAAATATTGTTAAGATGACAAGTGTATGATTGGCATAGAGAAAAGTGTGCCAAAATATTCAATTAAAAACAATTACGCCAATTCAAATAGTTTTTAATCACTATAGCTATCAACTGATTAAAAATTTGTCAATAATAGTTAGCACAGCTAATCTCTCCAACATGATTCAAAGACTTGGCGTGTTACCCAACAGCATTTCCAACAGGTTTCTGCTGAAGAATTTCATCAACAACTGCCGTTGCTCTATACTGAAGACCAGACAAGAAACCTTGACAACAAATCAACCAAGCTTTCTTCAGCATATTTGCTGAATAAAAAGTGGAGATGGATAGGACATATGCTGAGGAGAAGACCTTTCTGAATGACATCATGTGTCAGGTCACCGATTGGAACCTGAATGGAACTGGACGAGGACGAATTAGGCATCCGAGGGTGGAATGGAAGAGATCCTGTGAGGAGATAAAAGCTTAGGGGTAGTCGTGAACTGGAGATATGCTGTTGAAGCCCTATATTCCAGTCTGAAACCAAGGGAAAGACAGTAATAATAATAATAATCATAATTTGAAGATCACAATTACAGGAAGTAAACGAACACAGTGTGTGCTATACTGGTCATACAGAAAATATTATTATTATTATTAGTCAAAGGAAATATAGTAAACTCACATTGCATCAGTCATGGTTTCAGCATCAGTCACTGGCTTTTTAATAGGAATGTGGTTAATAGCCAGTGATTTCAACATTGTCACTTCTTCTCTAAGATGTACAACTTCTGTGCGTAGGATCTTGAAAGAATAAAACACAAAGAAATATTGATAAAATAACATAGAATACACTCATTGGTTACGACTTTCTTTAGTTGGTCATAATAATATTACAGAAAACTGAACAATGCAAGAAAGTGGACAACAATACATTCATTCATGTTGCTACCTTATAATACAGCAAAAATACAAAGAAAATGAACAAATGTAGAGCAGTATACCAAAGAAGGAAAGATATCAGAGAGGAAAGCAAGTGAATGAAAATTCGTCAAATTTTTTGAAATTCCAGGCATATCCAGTTAACGAGTCCCAAATAGGACGAAATGCGCATCCTGGATTCTACTGCTAGTCACCATCCACCAGCATTTTTGCTTCGTGAGTAGAAAAAACTCAGTAATTAAACTTAAATTTGTGCATTGTATTAAGTGAGAAAATCAGGTATATCATTAAAAATGCAAGCCTTATCAGGTAAGATAGTTCGAATGTCTATTGCGCATATCCGGTCACTACCATTCTTCACTAGTAATGTTAGCTGAAATACGTTTAGGTTGAAAAAAGATAAGGATGGAGAAATCAAAACATTGGAATCGATCCGTAAAGCCTATGACTTGGTTTGAGCCGCGTAAGCAATGGTGAACTAACTGGCTAGGATCGTCAAGATAATACGAACCGATGATTGGAGATTAAGGGTACTCAATGGCACAGGCGCATTCCCTTTTGAAAATATTAATAAGATAGTATTATTAAGACTTTGTACCACACCTATTTCTGCCTATCGTACTATTACTAAATTCAAATTATTACACTTTGTCTTCTACAAAGTACGATAACATGAGTCGATGTACTTCTGTGCAAAGTTCCAAGTTAATCCATCAGTTACTGGACTACACGAAAAAAAGCGTCTAATGCATAAAAACTAGTGTTGTCATTTAACAACCGAAATCTTGACAAATAAAATGAATTTCGAACTCGTAACACAAATTGTAGACTGAAGTGTTCAGATGGATTGAGTCCAAATCCACTGTTACTTGGATACTCTATATCAACTGGATGCTCTATACGCAGCGGACTGAAAATAAACAAGCCAACGATAAGTGCATTTGCCTTCATTGATACAACTACTTCCTCATAATCGGCTACATGATTCTATGAAATCAAGTGAACAGCGTCCATCAACTTATTTGATACCCCTTTGCAGAACCAGCATTTACATCTAAAACTTCAAAACCGCTTCACTTCATAAACCTAAGAAGGATAAAGTACTGGTCGACACAACCTGCCTCTTTCAGTTCCTCAACTCCAGTTAACCATCTGATCTATACAGAGGCCAGAAATTTAGAACTGTTGTAGTTAAATAGAATTTTCTCTCTAAAGTGGAATAACAAAGATATGGATCAGTTCGATAGAATCCTTAAAGGTTTCTACAGAACAACCAAAACTTCTTGTTACACCTTAGAGACAACCCGCTTTACTTCAACAAGAGTGGTTAAACAGCTAACCACTAACTATTCATATTTAGAGCAAATAGCAGGCAGCTACAGTTGCATATACTTACCTATAATATGTTGACTAACTTTCAGACACAACATTATCAACAAGCCTTCACCAGTCATATTCCTAGGATGCATTGTGTAGTTGGACGACACTCCTCAAGTATTTTTAGCACTGTTACCAGTCTCCATACACAACAAAGTTAAGAGGATATTGTTGAAACAAAGAAAAAGTGAAACCTTGCCTAACAACCACTTGCAATTCTATGGTGTTAGCAATGAACCACACCTATTGTGTGATGGCTAGTCATACTACTTGGCTGCCCAAACACCTCAGTAGGTGGGTCAGGGTTCAAACTTATGACGCACTGATAGAAAGTTGCGATCTTAGACCGATGAACCATAGAATGCAGGATATATTTTATATATAATGACAACTTTATGGTAAATGTGTGCCGATTCACAAACATATTGAAAAAAATTTTTAAGATCTGCAACTCTATCTCATGTAATTTACATTCTGAAACAGAACAACGGGTATAATATAATTCAATTATTAGATGAAAACTGTGGGAACAACAATAATAATAACAGCAAAATACAGCCAACAAACAGTAAAACCTACACATACTTCTATACTGTAACATAAATAATCCTACAAGATAGAATAATGTTCATGTAACAGTGTAACTATGATGTTGTATTTCTAATGTATCCTTGAGATCAAGATTCATTTAATGACGAGTTCATGCATATACTTGGATAACAAATTAAAACTGTCCAATGCGTATGAGATGGCGTCTGTGGTTCAATGGCAGAATAGGCATCAGCCACGCACATGGTCGGGGTTCGATCCCCGGTCGACACACACACTCCTAAATCTCGCCTAGTCTGTTAAGCCCGGTTAGTAAAAAGGAAAGGTTGGGCGTGAGGCTATCAACTCCACTGAATACAAATACACCAACGCTCTAAGCTCAAAGCTTCAAGCTATACATTCCACCTGCAACGCCGAGGAATGGAATGGGAAAAAAAGTGAGACGTGAAATAAGAGAATATAATAATCTAGCCCATACCTGACATTCAGCTTCTCTGGCTTGTAGTTGTGCTGTCGTATGCTGTGAGATGAGGTCATTCTTTTTAGGTGCCTGATTCGATTCCTTTGACTGTACAGGTGATGTTTTCTGCGTACAAAAACAAAAAAGAGAATGATATGTATATAAAAAATCAAAACTAATAACGGCATGTGAACATAATTCAGAAAAATTGCTTTCACAATACAAGTTAGAAGATTAAAACCAAATAATATCAGACTTAGAACAATCCATCTTCACACCCTATATCCTTTCCATGGTAAGTCTTTCAAATACACGCCACTTGGAAAATATTATGAAATAGGTAAGCACGTAAGATTATGACTTAATCAATAAGAAACTTTTCTTTTAACATATGATTAAAGGCTTTAACCTATCAGCGTTTATAAAACTGAGGCCGTTATTAACTACTATATGACTTCTTTTCCTTTACGTCCCAAGTGGAGCATAGGGCTTCAAGTTGGAGCTTCGAAGCTTCAATAGCAGTGAGATGTCTATTTTTACGAGATGGGTTTGCTAGCCTTATGCCTCGCCTTCCCTTTTTTATCAGTTTTACCATTGGCTTAGCGAGGCAGGGGAGTGCGTTGGCCGGAGATCGAACCCCGAACCACCTGCGTGGTTGGAGAGCATTCCTCCGCTGTGCCACTGTTGCAACCACTAATGCGTGAATAACAATACTTATTAACTGTTAAGATGCTGGTAAACGAACTCAGTTTGCAACTAACTCGTGATAGAATATTAGAAAGTAATACATCTGTACATTAGAGATACAATTTTTCAAAATAAGTATCCTTTGGAATAAAATCTTTTATTTATAGTAGTGGAAACTATTACCAAAAGGTTTTTGATGATTGTGAACACTCCCTTACACTCTACTGGCATTTAGGTCTACAATACAGAATACACAGTCGTTAAAGTATCGGACACGATTCATATAAGATCAAAGATCATATAAGCAGTAGATCACCACTTCTACTAGAAGTTAACCGCTAGAAGAAAACGTCTTGACCTGTTCGCCTTATATTGAGTTGATTTTACGTCAAACAACGTCAACGAAGACTTTGTCAGCAGCACTTAAATAAAGAAAATGAAGGAGATATGAACAAAGTGCCGTTATGTCTAGTTAGATCAAAAATCAATATTAGTTAGACGACTACTGGAAACCAAGGGGGGGTCCTGGGTTCTGATTTGAGACCCTTTCAACCATCGAACCTAAGGCCTTCGGGCTAAAAGACCAAACTAATGACCATTTACACAAGGGCAGAATCCAATGGCTCACGACGCATCTTAACTTCTGAAAATTTGCAATATAATACATTGCCTACCCACTCATTTATCTAATTACTAACCGACCTGTTAACAGGTTTACATCTGGTTAGATCTATTAGATTTTTATTAATTTTTTTAAACTCACTTGTTTGTTTAATTCAGTATTGTTCGCAGGAGGAGGAGGAGGAGAGGAATGAGCTTCAGGAGAACGAGGTATATGACTCTCACTATTAAGAATGAGAGAACGGATAGCTGTCACAGTCTCAGCGCCAAGATTCCTTAATAGTAACTCTTCATAGGATGTTGTAGGATTTGGATTCTCAACGGCGACTGTAACATGTTCACCGCGTCCAGATGGCGTGGTGACTTTCTCTTGTTTAGGAGAATTTGTAGTTTTTACACTGGATTCTAATTTCGTAGGCTAATGAAAATTTTTTAAAGAAACAAATGAAACAAATTTATGAATGACAATAAGTAATGTGGGCATAAACAACGAAATACACCCTTAGGATGACGAAGAAAAACTCAATGAACAAGAAAGTATCCTCAGTTATTTCTCAACGGAATCATGAACAAAAGCAACAAAGCGAAGACTGAATTAACGGCTACAACAAAACTATTCCGTTAACTTTAACAAACAGATTCATGTTATTCTGTCAGTAGGCTATAAATTTAATCACTTACCCAAGACTGACATGACTTGGGACTGAAAGTTTTTGATATCAACGCTTTAGCCTGTATATGACTAGTCATGTCTGTGTCTGCCTGTTTTCGACATAGAACTTTGCACAATATGTGCGGAAGTTCAAGTCGCCACACTCCCTCCTTGTAGCACACAAAGCAAGAGAAGAAATGCATAATAGAGACAGTAAACAGAGGTGTGAGACAAAAGAATATTAATAGCGAAGATGGATGCATCAGCACTAGCCGTTCAGAACAATTTTGAGCCATATCACCAATTGTTTCCAGCCTTCATTTTTTTTTACCATCCCGAGGACCCCAACCAGGAAGTCTACATCTTCCTACGTGGCTTAAACTAACTGTTGAGGATTTCATTGACTGGTGTAATGTTTTGGTTTGACAACCATTAGCTTGCTCTTTTCCAGCCTGACCCTATGTCAGCCAACATTTCCCGTCAGTCGAGAAAGGCGATGACTAGGCATACGTAACACATATCCTAACCATCTCAGTCGATGTAATTTCACAGCCTCGTTGATTGATTTCCCCTCCTTACCTAGCACTCAACGCCTAAATTAGTTTGAGCGAAGTCAGTACATAGAGAGTTATTGATCCCTTGACTCTACCAGGCAGGGGAATGAGACAATTGTCAAGGGATATGGCAAACGATAAACGTTAATCACACGAAAACCCCACAGGTAATCGTTTCAACTGAAATTCTATAGTTACAAACGTTTACTATTCCTACCATTTCTCCTGTAGAGACATCTCTTTGACAATAGGCTTACATGAAATGTTGTGCACCAGATCTTCAGGTAAGTATACACTGAATGATTACAATTCAAGAAGAATTCATTAAACATTTAACTAAAATAATATATTACATAACTCTGTTCTTGAATCACTGTGTATCCTTATTATTCAACTTGTTATGAGACAATTCTTAGGAGTATATGTTAATAACCTCTTTAAACTAGTCTAATTTAACAGTAGCTTTTCTTTTTACAAAGGTTTTCTTTAGCAACTGGCAAGCTATTTCCGTTCAGGTATGTTATATGAAATTTGACTAACTGAAAAATCACTATTCATTTGCTTTCAAAGTAATACATAACACAGGTGACCAACTTGTGGTCCCGCTTGCACCCTCAAACGTCAGTAAAACTATGCCTGAAAAAACTACGAAAACAATTCCAACACACTAATCATCTGATCATGCATAATACAGTGATTGATTCCCATGATATGAAGAAATTGGAAGTCTTGTGTATACTGAGTCCTTTATAGGATATATATATATATATATATATATATATATATATATATATATGGAAAGTTATTTTCATATCTAATCGACCAAAGTCGTCCGTTTCGTCTGAATTATTTGAGCTACACACATATTACACAACGCACGTAATACAACCGAAACTTCCACACACATACACAAACCCAGAATTCTCTCTATATCAAATGAACAATCAGGTAGTTTACAAAAATGTAGTTAGAAATGCGGGTGGGTTGTAGTGCATATTTGGGGGGGGGGAGTTGAAAAAGGGATTTATACGATGTCAAGATGATACAAAAAGAGCATACAAAATAGCCTTGCAATTGTGCATATACACATGAATAATAATAATAATACGGGTACCCACTTTCTCACGTTTATGACGGGAGAAAAGTCAACTTTTTCCTAAAGAAAAATGTACGCTAGGAAATTTACACTCGTGCATAGGCGCTTTATTGAACCTTCTGAAAACAAGTGTCAACTGTAATCCACTTAAGTTTATAAAACTAAGAACTAATGTGTAGGCGAGAATACATTCCTATAAACTTCATTTTGATAGCACACATACACCAGTAAACATTGCAGTATACAAATAAAACTCTTGATAAATTCATCTTAAAATGTTTATGTAAGCAGTAGCTACAATGGATCCAGTGAAGTTAGATTGGACACTAGTCACTGACTAGTGTATCTGAGTAGTTGTGTGAGTGCTGGCGGAGGGGTGACGGATGAGATTTCAAACCGTATAATGAAGGCTAGCGTGGCATATATCAACTTGAGCCACCTCTGGCGCCGTCGTGACGTTATCCTGGCTGTCAAAGGTCGGGTATACAATGCTTCGGTGCGGGATGCCCTGCTCTACACCTGTGAAACCTGGCCTCTCCGAGCTGAGGATGTGCGGCGACTCTGCGTGTTCGATCATCGCTATCTCCGCAGGACTGCTTGCGTTCGATGGCATCATCGTGTGAGTAATTCTGAGGTTCGGCGGCGTGTGTTAGAACACAGTGGAGATCACCATTCATTGAATGTTGTCATCTGGAAACACCAGCTCCGGGGGCTTGTACATGTGCTGCGAATGTCACCTCAGAGGCTTCCGTACAGGTATCTGTTCGCTAGCCCTGGGACGGGATGGAAAAGGCGGAGAGGTGGTCAGTCCATGACGTGGCGTCGTGGGATGAAGGATTTTTGTGCTAGATTAGCATCGGTTGGTGTGTCACGACTCCCTGGTTGGGGTCCGAGAGATAGCTCAAATCGATGGTTCGAAACGTTATCGGATATGGCGAAGAATCGTAATCAATGGCGAATGTGTTGCGATTTCCTTCTTTTTTCCCTTCCCGATGATAGCTAACGAACACTGTTTGAACTTGTTAAGCATGAGTGTTTTCCTTCCAGATGAAGTTCGTTATCCGTTCTCTACTTATATTTTTTACTTTTGATCTATGTTGTTTTATTACTATTGTGTGGTGCATCTTTCTTGGCGACACTGTACCGAGTTTTTTCTGCGTTTAAATAAATAAATAATAATACTGACTAGTGTGTTATGTGTATAATCCTGTCTTTGGTGCACAGACTGAATTATTTCAGTCAAGTTTGCAATGTGGCTACCATGAGTGCCAACTAGCACGAAACCTAGGTCCAAGGCTCCCCGCCAACTGCCTCCAACCATATAATACCAACCATTCACAGCGTGTCGTGATGGCAAGCCACCCAGCATGATGACCACATTGCAAACTTCACTGATAGAATTCAGTCTGCATCAAAGATGAGACTGGACACAATACGCACTGGTCAGCGACCAGTGTTCAATAAAAGTATCCTACAAGAGGTCAATCGCGAGCTCGAATAGCCTAGTAGTAACGTCTGTGACTGCAGCACTGGATGACGTGGGTTCGGATCTCAGAGGGTAAATGAGTTCCTTCAAGGTTGCAGATACGCCTTGCTGATCAGTGCCAAATGGCACGAAACCTAGGTAAAAGGTTTTCTACCGACTGCGTCCAACCATATAATACCAACGACCTAGTGGTGTTAAACGTTACAAACACTAGACATATATTTCACGACTCATCAACCAAACGCGTATTCATGAGTCACACGTCTCACATAGTGGCAATCATAAGGAATCAATTCACCCTTGAAGTAATTGCTTACGTACTCAAACAATTCCACTTTTGAAATAATCTTAATTAAAAGGCACTCAAATAATCTTCCAAAAGTACACGACAAAGTCATACATATGTAAATCTACAGAACCTACCTTATCCTTACTATTGACAGGAGATTCTTGTTGCTTAGAATTTCCTTGGTTATGTTGAATAGGTGATTCGTTTACTGAGTCCGATGGTGATTGACTGTCCGAAACTGATTGATCCCCTGATGCTGTGTGAATAAAAAGTTTTTCTTAATATGATGAAGATACTTTTTGAAGAGAAAACACAATACTATCTAGATTGATTTGCAGAAAAACACTATGTAAGGATGAAACAAGTTATAAAGATTTAGAGAATACGCAGCCTCACTCAGTTGTTATCTTGTCTTCAACTGCTCAGCATTTTCAAAACAATCAACATCTACAATAACCCGTATCAAGTTTTTTTATTAGTTTAATCCTGATATCACTTTATTCCAGTTCACTTCCTCCAGAAAAACTCAATTTTTGTGATATATATATATGGGGCTAGTGTGTTGATCGCTCTTTTACTGCCTTATCCTTGGACATTGCCTTCAACCTTTTGTCCTATAGATAGTATGTACTTTCTTTTGAAATAGTAATTCTATCTTCACATGTCGCTTTACAAACAGTATTCTACGGTTTTGGCTTCCATATAACGAGAGTCACTAGTCAAAACTTTAACTCTCGTACTGACAAATAATTTTGTTTTTCAGTATATGCCCGGAGTAGTCACTGAATTTATCATTCCTAGACTAGGTAACGATTATGTACAATGCATTTCCTTGGGGATTTGACTGACTGTTGGAACTTTCAACATAGAGCTCCACAAGAAAACTGTAGTCGTTCAGGTTATCACACCTCGTACAGCATTCAAAAAGGTGGAGGGAAGAAATATGACTAAAATACAACAAACGGATATATGCAGCAGAAAGGATAATCACACCAAAAATAAAGGGGGAGGGGGGTAATGATTCTGGAACAACGCGACGGACGAATGCATCTAAGTCAATGAAAACGATTTTGAGTCATGTCACCGTTAGTCTCTACCCACTGATTCCTATCTTTACGAGGACCTTAGCCGGACAATCTGCATTTTCCTATAAAGCTTAAATCAATAGTTAACGGCTTTAGGGATTTCTGTACCCTTACTTACCTTTCAATGTTATTAGTCGAGGAAGGAGGTGGCCAGGTATGTGTGACACATTTGCTAGTCATCGCAATCGGTGCAGTTTCATACCCTCATCTATTGACTTTGCCTCCTTAATTAACCTGAAGCCGAACCCTACCATTACTGATTATAGACATAGACATATACGGTTATAGATTGTTGGACTCTCCAACCACTTTCACTGAATGAACAGCTGCCTCGTACGCACGTCCATCGCTGAACAGTCAGGTGAAAATCAACGAATACCAAACGAGCCTTTCGTACTAGTGGTGGGATTTCACTAGCAATCAGTTCCCAAATACGTGAAATGGTCAACGCGCTCAACCATTTCATTCCTTATCCTTGAACTACGGGTTGGTGAAAGCTGGTATTGTAACATCATCTTACCTTTGACAAGGGCGAATCGCAGACCAAATATATCGAGATATCTGCCCAAGGTGTTCAGAAGACTCTGTGTCTTGTCAGAATCTTCACTTAAAAGAATAATATCATCTGCATACCCTATATCGAAGAGGTTTTGCTGATAACATCATTCCCTGGCATGTCACAGTCGAGCAGTGTCATTCCCATCCATAGTGAAATTAAATATAAGGAATGACATTGGGTACACCAGAAAAACACCACTGGTCTTTATTTCAAACTCCTCATGGTCTCTTACAAGGCTGCATAAGTGCCTTGATTAGCAAAATATACTTTATCCTCACTCGCTCTACAGCTAGACACTGCCACAGCAATTAACGACTGATGAAATCAAAGGAGGTGGTAAACACACGGACATTTATCTTCTTTTGTGTAAACTGGATTGGTAAGCAATCTGCACAAGTGAGTTGAAGTTATTTCAGAACCCCATATACTAACTAACATATTAGTCGGTCTAACCAATAAATCATCCTCATAGTGAAACGCCTCTGGAGTTATCACCAGGTCATAGTTTTGCCTCAATTTGGAATAGGGAGAGCTTTGGGAACCTCAGCTTCAGTTAGACGGCAGATGTCCACATCATACTCAGGTTAGGGTTGGAAGGTGAGCAGTCGTGTAGCTATAAACAAACTGGAATACACCACCCACCCCAAAAAAAACTCCAACCATTTCTCCAAACATTTAAGAATAGTGTTATCCATTAGCACCAGTTGTGTTTAGAACTCATCAAGTCATGTACTGACACAAGTTAGTACAGAAGAGGTGTAACATGCCGACAAAAATTATCAAGAAGTCTAACACGTTTCGTTCACATAACGCACGAGTTAGAATCATAAGCTGTGCTCAAGATCAAACAGGTAATATTTTTTGGAACAATAGCCTAATGAAGTGATTTTAAATACTATCTTGACAAGGTTGACCTTACCAACCTAGAAATTGTCCCTCAGTAGAAAGAGGGACTAACGCACGCACTACTCCATAGCATGCTGTCATCTCTGAGTTTTTGCAAATTATACAAGCTTTTATGCAAAATTTCAAACATCCAAAATTCCTGAGTTATTAAAAATATGACGTAAGACATTTGAACTAAGTTACATACGCTAAATTTTACCTTCACTCTCTACACTCTTTGTCTTATTTTGGGAACTTCGACTGGTGAGTTTCACTTTTTTAGAAGTAACCGTAACCCACGCTGGATCGACTTCAGCCTGTTCACGTAAACCATGACCATCATTATCTTTCGTTTTAGATGAACGCTTGGATTTCTTCGGCTTCTTTGGTACGGGGTTAAAGAATTCAGCTTCAATTCTATCGATGGTATTGCTTACATTTTCTTGTTTAATTTTAGGAGGTTGGACAGCAGTGTGTTGGGTTTGTTCAGTGGATACGACATGAGGTTTCGTTTCATTTACAACAGGAGGTGTCTGGCTTTTAACTTCCGTTGTTTTTTGAACCTGAACTTCAGGAATACGTGATTCAGGTTTGTTGGAATGTTTAGTTTTCTTTTTGTTTTCTTTCGTATACGGATTACCACGACGTATAGGCGCTTGTTTTTCGTCCTTGGCATTTTTGTAGATTCTCAAACGTAACTCGTTTCGGTAATGAACGGCAAGGCAAATGAGGATTGATCCTACTCCTATAGTTACTGGAAAAATAAATGAATAATCTAATTCATCATTATTGGTAGAATCTCCACTGGAACCAGTAATCCACTTCATAAAGTTCATTTGTGTCTACCTAAATAAGAAAAAAAATGTAATCTTGTAATATAGGCAACGCAGTGCATGGAAAAGGATAGGTACGTAAAAACCTTTCAGTTTACACTTAATGAGTAAAAACCTAATTATCTATTCATAATGGATTTAAAAATACACCTGTAATGCAAAATGATTACTAAGGAACCCGTAATACAGGAAAAACACACAAGTAACCTGTTTGTTTTGGTACTAGTTAGCACTAGGTATACAATTTGAAATACTTCTTGGGATATCAACTACACTTGGAAGTGACACACTCAGCATTTTTCCTAGTACCAAATACACGTTTTTCATGTAACAGGCTGCTATGAAATGAAAGAAGAGGGTATACAACTATCCCGTCAACCAGATCGAATGTACGGTAGGTTTCTAAACTCAAAGCCCTTTCTCTTAAATTCAATTAGGCATCATAACGCTAGTAACTGTGGCACTCAATATAATTTATGCTACGATAACACGTGAACTGCATTGGCAAAGACTGTTGTCTTCACTCTACAAGTACATGAGTAATGTCATAGGACGATGAAAATGGGCCTCCACCTAAAATCATTTACTGTTGAATATATGCTGTTGCATAAACCTATCACAGTGCAAAGTACATCTACAAGGAGAACGACACAATCGCCTGAAAATGGATACTACATCTAGTTCTGTTACAAGCCAGTCTCTAACATTTCTTATGAAAACCTGCAAATGCCTACAAATGTCCAACGTGAAGCTCTTCGTTGTAAATTCGAAACTTCATATCCAAGTGTGGTGATCTTCCATGTGTTAAATATTGTTTTTAGAATACCACTGTTTACTAATATTCTCCCAAGACTTGGTTTCACTGCAGAAAAGTACTAGAAGCTTGCATGGTCAATGAACTAGAAAATATCATATGGACAGCGAGATAATATTGCTTATTATGGGATTTAAATTAATACAGAGACTTAAAACACCAGTTGAAAGTATGTTTCGCTTCAGCAGTTACACACATTAACTACATCTTACAAAGAATACCTATATATGAGCTACGGTTGAACTATGAGACCAGTGTAACTACCAAAAGAAACAACGGAGAACTTGAAAATACGAAACAGAAAAATATAAAGTAACAATTAGACGCAAAGCAGATACTTCCCTAGCTTGTCGTGTGACTTCTGCTGATACAAAATGACAAAATGAACAAACAAGTTACTCAAGTTCACATTACCAGCGTCACACTAATTTAAATAGAAGTTGGAATGTATTTATACAGCAACAATCAAACGAATAGTTAGACCATAGGTAGACGAATATTTGCAAAACGTCGCCCAAAACTTCATGGAAAATCAAACCCACTGTACGACCAAGTTATACAGCACTGGATAAATACAGTTAACATTAACGTGACACTATGATAAGTCCTCAGATTTCAACTAATATAAGACTAGAAACTTCTAAATAAAATTTCATTTGACACTTATTAGTGTCAAAAAAGACGTTCTACATAAGTATACAATAGAAACTACACTATATCACCACGGTATTTTCAGTTATTCAGTACCTACTTATTGAACTATTGTTCCGAATCGACAAAGTTCCACTAAAAATTCCCAAACAAATACGCTTTAGGTCAAATTATTATATATCATACAAAATGTGCTGAACACCCTCACGACTCACAGTAAACCACGGGAGAAAGTGATAAACAGCCCGCTCTACAAAAAAGTGACTAAACACTTGGAGGGAACCGCTCGTGACGTATGTATTCAAAATCCAATGGAATTAATTCATATTTGGGTATTTACGTATCACACTGAGTAAATATAAATGCTCACAAAAATTATATACGAAATTTAAATTATGTTTCATACTTCTTGCAGTTTAATGTCATTCTAGATTAGGTCATTAAATCGTACACCGAGTGACTTAGTATGTGCGTCGGTATGACAGTGGTTAGGACTCTCGCCGACCATGCACATGGCCTGAGGTTCTATCCCCTACTGACGCACACCTGATATCTATGGTCGGCCTGCAAAAATTTGGGCTACCGATATCCATGCTGAAAATTCCATACTTGTACCAAAAATACACTGTGGAGTCAAGCTGTAATCAAAAATAAAAAAAATTAAAAATTAAGGGGTTGAAATGTTATCAGGGGTAGTTGATTCCATACAAAACTGTGTCAAACAAACCTTATTTTAAGCCACTTCGAATGAAGATTGATTATTCCTGGCACTTTCGGATTTGTTATAATGACAAGTCATTTGTAGCCTCGTTTTTAATTTTTGTCGGTCCACATACATAATCCACTCTTGATCTTAGTTTCTCTGCGTGTGAACTTCAACGGCCACTCTGTTAAATTATAGAAATTAAATACCCATCTTCCGTTTTCTAATGTGCATACATATAATAACTGCAACAGTCGAATTCCTCCGTAGAATGAAGATTTAAACTCCGGCAGTGATAAAACTAACACCGCACAAAACTGCATATTAAATAGGCGAAAGCTACACATTTTGGACGGTGACAATGTTGCCATAAACATCCCCAACTCTATATTAGTAAAATGTCACTGATAAGTATGGAGTCGACCGCTCATGTGTCCGTTCTAATCTTCATCTAACAGACTATGTTCATACACATTCTGGGACTGGAATCGACCGTGTTTAAATGGAGGAAAAGGATATGTCGTGAAATTCCCTCAAGTAATGATCTCCAAACTCCCACGTGTCAGTGTGTCTTGGTGAAGATGAAAACATTAGGCGAATCGCTCAGAAATGAATGTTCAAGTTGTGTTGAACACTCCTGTAGTTTTCAGGCCCAACAGCCTAGCTAAATATTTTGAAAGCCGTAATAGAAGTTTCTACCTTTGCTTCCTCACAGGAACACAGTGGACATACTCTGTAGTAGTCCAACTCCACATCTCGTGGATTGCCCTGAAGTAAGGGATGCATTGTCCACCACGGTAGAACAGGGATATCTGAGACTAGCTTGTGTGAAAACAAGAGTGCCAGAATATGTCGATCACCCTAAGCGCATCTCAGTTCAGAAATTAATTCATCGAGGCGGCTTAGTGATCACAAATAAGTATGGTCTTGCACACAGCCAGAGTTGCAGTCTGTGCAACTAAACAATGAGAACAAGACACATGATAGGGTTACAACTTTGATTGCTAACACAACAGTTTCACCTCTTGAGATGAACAACTCACTCCATTTCCTCGCATACATTTTTCATCATTCGTAGAGTGCTAATCCCTGGTAGGGCCAAAGGTATGCAGTAAAGCACCCTCACCATTTGATGCTATGTTGGGTTACTTCCAGGCTTTTGTAAGCCCATTGTAGCTAGTTAAGCAGCCATCGTCTCTGTGTGGTCCTGATGCCGAAGTATACCTTTCACTTAGATGATCAGTGTATTGTCTCACTTTGTCTCCGGTTTCACTAAAATGAATACTATGGGAACCGGAAGGCTTAAACTTGCATCTGTGTACGGCATATCTTGCGAAACCATCAACACTCGTCATCTCCTTGAAACACTTAAAAGAGTAAGGCCAGGAAATCTTGATTTCATTGAAAAACCTGCTTTGCACCGGGTCTCCGACGACACATCGAGACCTCTCAGGTACTACTCATAAGCAATAATTTCCACTTCAGCTAAATCTCAATTTCGTGTGTCCAGTTTATCACTTTCTAATCGGATTCCTCTTCACAGTCCACGTGGAGTGTGACATCAGTTGTAGGTTTCCTGAATACCTCTGTTTCCTTCTGAATATCGACTTTCACTGTCTCACTGCAGGAATTAATGTGGACAATAAGGAAATTATTTCACTGGATAGGTGTTGTGCATTTTTAAATGTGGCACTGGTACAAACTATCCATGTGATTTCATTGATTTAAAATCTTTAACAAAATGGCACCACCGAATTATTCGAACCAGCTATCATTGTGTATTCACGTTCGATAAGCAGTACAGACTAAATGATGTCGTTAAGGGGCTGTCTTAGGTGATACCTTCACGGCGAGCACTGAGTGAGTTGCGACTGGTCTAAAGAATTCAGATCACCTTGATTCAAGGTGTTCTGAATTGGAAAGGCAATATCAACTGAAAGTGACCGTAGGTTGCGTAGCATGTCACCATCGTTGTCATTTTGTCAATAAGGTTCTTCCACTGTATGCTCGTGTGTGTAGGTACTGCTTACAATGAAGTAAAAAACTATTGTTTTTCTCTCCTAATCTTCTCTCTACACCTACCTTGTCAGAAAGTGTTCCATCATGTGATAGAGCAGTGGTGGAAGTATATAATCATATGACCAAAAATAAAACCACATAATAGACGGACGTAATAACCCTGAGCAACGAATGAGATTAGTCCGTAATATATGGAGGGATTTACTTAGCAAATTTCATCGAGTGGCTCTGCTGCATATCCACAATAATCACAGAGTTGTAGTCCACTGCAGTGGCGAAAATTATATTTGTGTGGACTATTTGTATCAAACTTCACATCAAAATTTTTCTCTTGTGCGCGTCGTTGGCACGGTGGTCAGGACTCTCGCCGACCATGCATACGGTCCGCAGTTCAATCCCCTGCCGATGTACACCTGATATCCATGGTCGACCCGCAAAATTTGGACTACCGATGTTATATACTGAAAATTCTATACCTGTGCCAAAAATACGGTGTGGAATCAAGCTGTAATCAAAATAAAATATTGCTGGTGGCAGTATACCCTTGGACTGCGTCACGTTTTCTTCAATCGTTTCGGACAATTGTTGTTTTATACGGATATCTGTGCAAAGTAATGGATTTAGAAGGTACTGAGTTCAAAACTTAATTATATTAGTGAATTTTATGAAATCATGCTGGTATATTTTGGCTTATATATTGAAACGCCCCAGTACTTAATGAAAAAAGGTGGTGCTGTTCAAAAAAGGATTTCAATGTAGTTGAAGATTGAACGACCAATTCATGGTTGTTTGCTCAAACCCAACTTCCCTATATTCTGGCGGAGGCATCAATCCACACCAGTCATCGTCTCATCGGTCGCTGTTCAAAAAGAACGTAGAAAAACCGTCAGAAATAATATCGTGACTTATTATTATAATATTTGTTCATGGACCTTAGTTTATTTTGCTGCTCATATGTTGGTGTTAGGATAAAGAATTCTCGAGTCACAAATCGGTGTTCTGGTTCACGCGTCCGTTAGTACTAAGCGTTTCTGAAAGGCTTCGAGGGACAATGAGAGGCCTGGAGTAGCAAGAGCTGGGCACTAACGGTTTCTGAGACGTGATTGACAGTTTCTGACTGATACCCCTAACGAAGGTTACTCGGAGGCGATGAGTATACTGCGTAAAAGATTCGGAAGACCTTCGATGACTGTAAGGAATGCATTAGAGGCTGTTAAAGGTAATGGTAGTCAATTGCAAGATGACTCTAAGGCACTCACTGAGTTTTTGGATAATCTGTTGACTTACAAGAATACGTTGATTTCGATTAATTGCATGAGCAGACTGAACTCAGGTTCAGTTCTAGAGGTAATAGCGAGATGCCTACCTACTCGACTGCAAAGGAAGTGGGTGGAGATAAGCTCTCGTATAGAGGATAAAGGTATTGAGCCAAAGTTTGATGATATTCTGAAACTGGTAAAAGATAGTGTCAATCAATCTATGAGCAAGTGCGCCAGTATATTGCACCCCACCCCTAGAACAGAGAAGTCTGAGAGCAAAACGCAATCATTTATGACGAAAGAGTCTCAGAGAAGTGGATATCGAGAAAGCTTTATGGTGTCTAGTTATCCAGATAAACTTAGTGAGCGTAACAGCCTTCGTGGGACATCCCCAACTGATGGGTTACAAGTTGCAAGACAAACGCAGTTGTTTTACGTGTTTGCAAGAACTGCATACAAGGACGTACTGTGAAGCACTGAGCGAGCTTAGTAGTAAGCTAAATGTGAAATCAGCCTCATCAAGGTCTGACTACGAATTGTGTGACAATAATGGTGCTTTGAAGAAGCCTGTAGTTGCAACTGGTAAGCGATCGTTGAATAGAGTGTCGCAGACGACACCGCAGTTCGTGCGGAAGAAGAGAGCTACAGTTTCAGGGTCCAGTTTTGACTTCACAAGTTTACAAGGTATTACTAGTCACAGTAAAGGTATGAAACCTTTAAGGATTTGTGAGGAGGAACCAAAATTGTCTACTTCTGTTATTACAGAGTTTGAAAATGATGAAGTCGAACATATAGGTGACGGTAAATTGAATATTTGTGATAATGATCATGATAGTGCAGATTTGTTTTGTTTGACCGCGATGAGATGAGTGGAAAGCCTACTACTACTGAGTTGAACAAAAGTTCTGTACAACTTCAGCGAGAAGTAGAATTATGAGCAGATGCAGTAGTTGAAGGTATGGACACTCATGAGACCGTCAGTGTGAATGATCAGCGTGTAGCCCATCTATCGACAGATGTTAATCCTAAACTGGAGCTAATAATAAAAGACAGCGGTGGTGGTAATCTTGCAGTTAGGCAATCTTCTAAAAACTGATGCACCGCTAAGTTCATCAACTGGTGTCACTCAGTCGTCGTTGGTGTTGTCATCCACAATAACAGAGACGTTGCTGAACTCACGAGCCATATGCTATGTCTATACTAGTATTGGTCCGTTTTAAAGGGCAAAAGTCAATGGTCAGTTTAAGGAGGATAAGCCAAATGTTTATGAGAGTGTAATTGTTAAACCGACTTTCACGAACAAAGGCATTTCAAGTTTC